CAATTTAAAAACATAAAAAAAGGATTATTGAATTTTTTGGGAATTTGCTAAAAATTGTTGGCGATTTACAATAATTGTGTTGATTTATTACGCCTTTAAAGAAGAATTAACAGAATTCTGGGTTTTTGTTTTATTTTCTCTTTTTCTTTTATTTTTTTTCTCTTTATTTATTTATTATTTAACACACAAAGTTTAAATAATGAAATAATGAATAATTAAGGATTAGTGTGTATTTTTATGGATTTCTAGAAATTTCTGGGGGAATTACATGGACTATCACAATTTTGTAAAAAGAATACAAAATTGTGTTTGCCTGTTCGGAAATTGTTATCAGTGTCAAATCTTTAATTTTGTTTTACCGATAACTAAAAATTTGAACTTTAAAACAGACGGAAAACAAAAATGTTATTGTTTAAATTGTCCTACGTCATTGACTTATAAACAAAATAAAATATTTTTATGGATATGTAAGAGTTTCATAAAATTTTCTGTTTATTTTTGAACTTTTAGCGATTTTTAAAAATGGAAATGCTTTTCAATGATTTTGATTATGGATTTGAATTTGTTTTTTTTTTCAAGAAATTTTCGGATTTTTTTTAGTGTTTTGCTTCAAACTTAGCCACACCCTTCGGGTTTGCTCCAGCTACGTGGCGTATAACCTAATTTGATGAACTTTTGACAAACAAGTGATAAGCAGTGCGTAATTTCCTATCTAATTAATTCTCAAATAATGATCTTCATTCACTTGAATGTCCTATAGAAAGCTATCAGAGCAGAAAGTAATTATGAATTTTTGAAATTATCGGATCGTTTCTACTGACAACACAATTAATCGCCGATAATTACAAAGATCTAGTGACTCAATTATATACCCGGCGTGCGAAAAAACCAAACAATCTGAGTTCCACGAAATCTATATTATATGAACAATGCCAAACAAACTACCATATAAAATTTTATTGCAACACACTATATTTTTTGCCAAGAACGTGCCTTGGCAGCTGGTGCAAAAGAACCATAACCGTGGAAGATGATGGTCATATGAACCGATAACCATCTTCCCAGAATCCGATTTTTTTCAAAGTAAAAATTGAAAAAAAATTCCAAGTCACACTTACCCACCATCTGCTCGCTTTATCTCCCAAATATGTGTTCATGTGCACTTACCTTAATTAAACTCATTTCAATGAGAAGTAATTTAGGTGGTCAGGTGTAGCGATGTCTTTTTAAGAGATAAAAGAACATCTGCGTATCTAACGGGAGGTGTTTGTACCACGCCGTCACGGTTGTAATTTTAACTTGAGCGGAGAAACAATTGTTGAGATAAAAGACACTCGTAAAGTTTTATTAATATGAAGAAAAAACAATAGGATGGTTGCGAGTTAGGTGTATATTTGATTTTTTTATACGAGTTGGAAAGTTTACGGCTATTTATAACAATTAATAAGTAGGAGTCATAAATTGTTGAAGGCGGTTTATCGGCTTTAAAACACTGAGCTAAATAAACACCGATTAAGTGTGATGAACGTGAATTATGCACAATCGCATTCTATAATTATGCCCCCAATCAAATGTTTAGAAATTTGAACAAATTTTCGAATAGGTATTCTACTAAAGTATTTTACGAAATTATTAAAATAATTTACTAAAATTGTTTTACCCTAAAGATTTGAAATTTTCGCAAAATTATTCGGGTCTGCAGTTTGCAAATTTCTAATAACATAAATAAACGTCAATAGAAGAGAAGGGACACGTGGCTTGGGGGGCGCCGAATATTTTTGCTAAAATTAGTGGTATTTTTTTTGGCATTTTTGTGTTGTTTGAAGTATGCTGATAAAAAGTATCTTAATGGTTTTTGGTCTTTTTTTTTGAACAAATAGAAGAGGGACGCCAGTGGCTTGAGAACGCCAAATAATTTAAAAAAATCTGTTTTTTAGGAAGTGTGTTGGTACATAAATAGTAATCGTAAAGCAAAGAGGAGACAATACTATTTACAAAAATTATTGGTTAATAGATTTTAAAAATTCAAGGATTTTTATCGACATTTTAAAGATTAATGGTATTTTTTTGTAATATTTCTAACAATTTCTTTAGACTCTAAATGAATTATTTGTTGAGTTTTTTTTGCAACAGATATTAAATTGAATCTCTGTCACATCAAATATTTACTAGATTAAGAATTTGGTGTGAACATCACACGACTTTCCTAATCCCACTTATCTGGAAAACATCCTTACGACAATAATTTAGTGTTGGAAATCCGAGTAGCAAACCTAACGTTTGCCTGCCGGAAACACGCGAAATAGATGATAGTTGTCGCGGGTTCGAGTCTAGGGTGCATTTTTTTTTTTTAGTTTGGCACTCATTATTATTTTTATTTTATCACATTTTACTGTTTGATAAGGTATATATGATTCTAAATAATTTTATCCCCATGAATTCAACCGTATAATTTTTGGTCTTTGCCGCCGATCGATTTTTACCAATTGTTTCGTGCTGCGTCCCCTTCCTACTTTTTGTGTTTTTATAGAATTTCTATGGATTTCTTAGGATCTGTGGGATTTCATTTATTTTCTTCAATTTCTTTTTATTTTTTTATTTTTTACTTCATTTTATCTTCATTTACACTTACTTAAATAAATTTTATTTTATATATTTTTCAGTTTTTTTAGGAGTATTTTTTTTGCAACTTTTTCACATTTTGTATTTGCTTCTTTCTAATGTTTGTTATTTTTTTCTGAAGTTTAAAGCACTTTAATTTTATGAGAATCTCCGAAATTACAGTAACAGTAACCATATCTTATTATAAAAATATAGAAAAACACGAAACAGAAGAAAATACCACATAATAAAAACTGATTAATGATTATAAAAAATTGAAGATTTTTGGAGACTTTTATAGACGTGTCTAAAATTTTGGGTGAATTTCTGAAACTTGGATTTTCCCAAGATTTTTGAGGTATATTGACAATTTCTTGTATTTTAACCAATTTCTATAGATTTTTATGAGTTAATCTTTGGGATTTATTTCAATTTAATTAATTTTTATACAAGAATGAACATTATACTGAATTTTTGTATATGGCTTCAATAATAATTATTGATGTACATATCTACTTACTGTAATATTTTATTTATAAAAATTTGATGTTTCTATTTTTTTTTAAGTTTAATTTTTTTAATTTAAATTTTTGTAATTTTCTTATACGAGTAAGAGTCTCATATAGATAATTGATTAATAAGTGATTTTAAAAATTTGGAGATTTTTGTAGATATTTTTTGTGAAATTTTGTATTTCTATTTAATAAGAATAAGTTATGCACGTTAATATTTCAGTCTGAAAAAAAATACCCAAACGTCGCAAATAAAAAGAAATTACAAAATTGTTAAAATGATAAATTTAGCCAAAAACTATAGTATTTATACAGTGCGATCAAAAAGACTGTCTATCAAGCAAGCGTAGAAATTTAAAACGTATGTCTGTGGAAGATAAAATGTCGCAATGACAAATGAGAAATGTCAAAATATTTTTTATGTAAATTATGACAGAACACCGTGGTGAACGATTTTTATGAATAAACACCAACAAGATCTCATTTTAGTTTGTTTTGAGACGTTTCATAGATTAATTCAATTTAATTGGCTCAATGTTTTAATTTTAATAAAATGATTTTTTGATATCTAGACAACATATGAACTGCCATGCAACATACGTCCTCAACTAGGACGCCTACTTGATAGAAAGATTTTTTGATCGCACTGTAGTTTTTATATTTATTGTATTTATAAAATACAATTACTTTTATTAAAAATACGATTTTATTTTTTTAACAGCTTGACTAAGAATGTTTATTTGGGCCAACCTGTACCTATAGTGATTTCAATAAAGCACTAAACCGCATTTCATTCGACCATAAAACGAGATGTTTCTCTAAATTAACAACTTCTTTGTGTGACCAACACCTATCAAATCTTCACAAAGTCGCTTATTCAAATTTAATTTATGATTTCTCTGACAACTGTTTGAATTAAATCGTTTGATTAAAAATCATCGCGTAGGACGACCTAAAATGTTCGACAAATTTCGAATTGAGTGTCGCAATCTGCTAATGAAGTGTTAAAAAATTGAAAAAAGAATGGATAATTCTACATGAATTAAGTGGGTTATTATGCGTGAAGCCGCCTTAAAATTTCGTTTCGTTCACTTTCAGAGGTGTTAAAAATGTTTCGAATCAAATTACATCTAAATGATTTTTTCAATTAATTTTAATTGATTGGAAAAAGTAGCTCTCACAATCAATCACTTCTAATTCTATTAAAACAACTTTGGTGGCCCAACCCAGGCTATACAATTTTACTAAGCGTAACTAATCTAAATTTAACAAAATAGCAGTGTTAAAAGAGCTCGTTATATTTTATTACATACTTAATTTTTTCAACGACTAGTTTATTTATGTTTTCTACCAAAAATAACATGATTACACTTTTTAATATTTTCTGTCCAAACTAAGCATGATATAATCAATTATGAAATGTTTGTATCCTTGACAAGTTTTGTTTTGTAACACAACCACCCACAGTTCGAATTTCAACAAGAAAAGAAGCTACTATGTTACTCATTATTAATTATTGTCATTCCTTTTAAGTGAAAAAAGTCAACACTTCGTAGTTGCGCAGTTTTGACTTAAGCCAATAAATATTCCAATGTCAACAGAATTGTTTCACCTAGTTTTTTTTTATTATTTATTGCTTCACTTTATTAAAATTTATGAACTGCTTTAGGACTCCATTAAGATATTTATTATTAAACTGGGTCGTAGTATATTTCCGTGCATTTTTTTCTGGATGAAACAAATCTTGAATATAAAACTTGTTTAATGACATTTTATAGCTTGTATCATCGTTGTTTATAGAGAAATGACGGAATTGAATACTTTATTTGCTGGTTATAGTACACATGTCTGGATTTTTTTAATTGAAATGAAAATTCTTTGTTGCAGGCTCATGTGGTATCAGCGTTCGAGCAAAGTCTGTCTTCTATGACGCAAAGACTTCAACATCTCACAGCCACAGCTGAGAAAAAGGTGAGATTTGGGAAATTTTTGGGTTGTACATATGTTCGTAGTAAGTTAGTTTTCCAAAAACTTAAAAAAATTAATTATTTAAACGGGAAAAACAACATTTTTGAGAAAATTGTAATGAAATAATCGTTTGTTGGTTCTTAGAGGATTTAATAGTAATTTGTATAACTGCACTTACAAGGTAAAATGCAAATTAAGAAAAAATATAGAATATACAGAGTGAACAAAAAGTATGGAACCAAGCGGTTTTGTCATTTGTCTTTAGAAAATAATAATTAATAAGAATTAGAAAGAATTTTTTTGTTAAAAATTGATTAAAATGTAGATGGTTGTAATCCTAGATCCTAGATCATAACCTTTGTAAAAAAAAGGTTTTCTAGTGGGTTACCATTTGAAAAAATAAAATTGCACAAACCAGAAACAAGAAAAAATCGAAAATTTATATTGTTGAGAAATTCACATTTTTATAGTATCATTCAACACTTAGTTTTCTCAAAAAATAGTTCAATTTTAAGTTTAAGCAAAAAATGATGAAATGTAATATTGAAGTAAATTTGAAAAAGGGTTTTATTAATTATAGTTTTTGATGATCTCTTAAAGAAAAGTTTTCTTTTTTATCATAAAAACTAATAAGTCGTTCATAATTTTGAAATACAAGTTATTATATTATTTTAAAAAGTTCAAGACTGAGAGAGAAATCGTGTTTTAAGGTCGTTAAAAAACCTGATAATTTTAAGGCTTATTTCCATTATTTTCATATCTTCTATAGAAATACAAACATTACTCAAAATCGTCGGATTATCGTAAGGGAATAACAAATTCAGTTTAAGGAGACGTTTTACAAATTTATATTTAGATATTTTTTAGAAACACAAAAATAACAGTAAAGTGGCTCAAGATGATGAGATAAAATATAACATAAGTTTAGATCTTCGGATAAACTCAAAATCTTAATAAAAATAGAGGAACTTTGACCCTTCAATGATTTCCTTTTTAAGGATCTTTTTCATGTTGTTTTAAAGAATCTCAAGTTTCTTTTTTTTCTTTGTCTTTTTGTATTAAATATTGATTTTAAATTCTTACATTTTAAGAAATTAGAAAGCTTTCTAACCTTGAAACACTTTGTATCTAAAAAAAGGTTTGGTGAAATTATGTTAAGATCCTCATAAAAATTTCAAATTCTATTAAAATTCAAATAAAGAAACTTTGACTTTTTACCTTTTTTGTATTTTTTTTTCATGAAAATATTTTGATATTTTTAAATTAAAATTGTCAAGTAATCAATGAAAACTATAAGTTAAAATTTCGAAAATTGCACTTTAAAATTAGAAAGTTTTTCAAAATATTGGAACACATTGTATCTAAAAAGGTCCACAGTTTAGCGAAGATCTTCATAAAAATTCTAAATTTTAATAAAAATACAGAAACTTTCACTTCTCACCTTTTTTGTAATTAGTGTTTTGTGATTTTAATCTCTTTATCTTAATAAATTTTACACTAAGATTTTGATAGTATGATTGAAAATTATAAGACAACAAAACAATTGTTTAAGCAGTATCATTAATATTAATAATTATTGAATTTCTTAACATACAGGTGGATCATAAAAAACGCCCCAAGCTACAACTCCATTGTTTTTGAAAATATGACAATACTTCTTAAAACAAAGTTGAACATTTTTTGTCATCATTTTTTGCAATGCTGCTTTCTGTTTCACCGGAATTTTAGTCTTTTAATTGGAACACCTGTATATTTGATTATTTTTGGATTCTTCGATTAATTGTTTTTTAACAAGCTCATTTTAGGCAATTTACAAAATTAAATTAAATTAAGTAAGCTGTAAATAAAATAGAACATTTTTATTCATATTATCTAAGACAAGTAAACGGCTGATAACAAAAACTATTCAGTTTTTGTCTTTAAAAGTACATGTTTTGAGTAAAAAAAGTATATATCAGAAAATAAAAAATTATTCAACAGAAAATTGAAGTCATCCGGAAACTTATAATTAATGAGATTAGTTTGCTAATGACCAACATAATTAAGTACTTTTTACTAAATTAAGATTTTTGGACAAAGACAATCGTGAAAAGTTGATTTATTTTTGACTAATTTCAAAAACATACTTTTGTCATTCGAAAAAATATCATTTTAGATTCCAGAATTGTTTAGTTTAACTAGATATAAATATACATTGCAAAATGGGTAATTATAATTTAAACCTGGCTATTATACAGTTAATTTTCATTTGATTGTCATTAATCTGATTTAATTAGAAAAACTTGTGTTTAAATTAAATTAAATGAAACCTAAAGAATTTATAATAATTATGGATTTATGCACCATTCTTTGATTATTTTTTTCCGACATGTTTCAAACAGCATACAGCATAATTTTACCTTTTTTATGCAAATTGCAAGAAGACATATGGTGTATGTTATGTCTTACGTTGTATAATTTACAGAAAAAAATTTTTTTCTTTGGCTTCAACCAAATTATCAAAGTGACTACACGAAACACAAAGAAGTCCAATCTTTCAATCCTCTATTGTGCAGCTTTTGTTCGAAATCGTCTTTAAGAGATTTTGATTTTACTCTACTCATGATGACCTGGCGTAACTTCATATCAAAGTCATCTTTTGATTATTTTCTCAACGCGACGATACTCGAAATTCTGAGAAACGATCTCGTTATGAAATTGAAATATGTTTTTTCAGGATTCTGAATTGGCTGAACTGAAAACTGCAATGGAAGCTTTGAGGGCACAGTCGATACAAGCCGGGATTGGAACGGGATTAGCAAGACAACCGTCCTCTGATAGTGTTTCAAGTCTATCATCAGCTTGTAGTCTGGATAAACACGAAAAGAAGAAGAAAAAGGGATGGGTGAGTGGATTGTTATCGCACCGAACGTGACATTTATCTAATTAGGAATTACAACACTCATTAGATAAAAGTCTGATAAGCTGTTACGTAATAAAAAGTTTTTTTGTTATCTCTATTATTCTAGTAGTTTTGACGTCACTATCAATCCTGAAAATAAATATTTCAGCAATGATAACAAAAATTACCTTCAACACTAAGCCTACTTTAATGTTTGTGTCTCTGTTATTACTTTTTCAAATCAAAAAAAATGTTTTTAACATGCTATCTCATTACTTATTCAAACTAATTCTTCATTTAATATTCGGGTTCATTAACTCCATTAGTGTAATTATCTTTATCTTTTTAGTTTTGCCGCTTCCGTGTTGTTATTTCGTAATTTGATTCAAAAAAATGGATAGAAAATTATAGTACATAAATTTTTACCAATTAAATCTGATCTAATCCATTTTTCAGCTAAATGAGGTTTGGGTTTTTCTGTTTTTTATTTTTAACCGATTTTAATCAATACAATAGTAAAAAGTTAAAAAATAGGTAGTTTTATAATAAATATTGTTACGAGTAATGCTTTATTTTTTCTTAGTTTCCGTTTTTAGTTTTTTTAATTTTCCATTAAGTAATTTTCATAATTTATGTCAAAACACGGAATTTTAAAACTAAGACCATAAAACAAAATATCAAGATAAATCTTGAAAAATAATGTTTTCGTTCTAGTATCAAGAACTAAGTAAAATTTTAAGGTCTGGGATATTTTTTGAGTTGTTTTCAAGATACTCGTTTAAATAATAAGTAACATTTCTACTATTTTTTGAGAATCTTTAATTTTGATTTGTTTTATATTTTCTGTTAATAGTAATCTTAGTTTTATTATCTTTAATTTGTGAAAAAGTGTGTCAAAACTAAACCTGATGTGATCTCGAAAAGTGAATATATTTGTTCTTATACTAAAAAAAACACAAAAGAAAACGAAAGTTATAGAAACTTACGGCAATCTTTTCAAAATTTTCTGAAAAAGTCGCGAGTTTTTAAAAATAAAACAAAATAATTGGGTGGTATTGGCTGGTTAAAAATGTTGTAGTACATTTTGGATTTGGTTTCATTTACCACTTTTTTTACAGAATATCTGATTTTTGATTTTTGTTTCGGTTAATAGTAAATCTTGATTTTTTAATTAATTTTTCGAAGAAGTATCTCAAAATATAAATTAAAACTGATGAGGTCTTGTTAAAAAACCTCTTATTTTTGTTCTTATATGTTGTAAAAAAAATTTATAAAAAACCCTTAAGCTTGGAAGTTACGAAAATTGTTGAATTCAAGATAATTTAATATTTTTCAAAAAAGTAGTTATAAGTGATAAGGAATTATATCAAAATTTTATGAAAAAGTCGAGATTTGAAAAATAAAACAAAATAATCGTTGAAATATTTTGATGTTGATTAAAACTTTATCAGTAATTTTTGATTTATTTTACTTTGTGTTAATAATAAATCTTTATTTTATTATCTTTCATTTTCCAAAATAAATCCTGTCTTAAAATCTAAATTCTAAAACTGATGAGTTTGTCAAAATGAAAAAAATAAGTAAGACCTTTAAATTAGTAAAAGGTGTTTTTGCGAAAAAAACACGAAAACACTGAATAAGAAAGTTACGTAAATCTTTCCCAAAAGCTCTAAATTTAAGATGATTAATTATTTTTCAAAAATTGAGTGGAAAAATTTAAGAATTATAACATGAATTTCTTAAAAAATCAAGATTTTGAAAAAAAATTATTGGCATTTGTTTCAAGTAAGATTTTGAAAAAAAATTAAACCCTCTAAAACTTTTATACCTAAAGCTCAAAATGAAAAAGTAGTGTTAAAACTTCCAGTATTTATGAAATGTTAATAAAAGAATCCTTAACCCAAAAATTCTAGGATTTTTCCAAAAATTTGCTTGTTATTTTTTAATTGTTTAGTAATCGTTTTTTGTTAAGAAGAGTTTTTTTGATTTTTTTTAGTTGCGTAGCTCTTTTACGAAAGCCTTTTCCCGCAATGCCAAAGTGACAAAAGTCCAATGCCAAAGCGAAGGCGAAAACGAACGCCAACACAGTCCTCTACCCCCCGCCCCCACAGACCCCGGTCAAGAAGTCGCCGAATTACAAAAACAACTTCGCGAGAAAGACCTCGTTTTAACCGACATTCGTCTTGAAGCCTTAAGTTCCGCCCATCAGTTAGAAAGTTTGAAAGACACTGTGATGAAAATGAGAGTAAGTCAATTCACACCCTCCTCATACCCTAAAAATAACCATTCAAAAAATTTACAGAGCGAAATGCTTAGTCTTAAGCAAAACAATGAACGGTTACAACGAATGGTCAACGGAGCGACAAACATGCCCACCGAATTAGCCGACACCAGAAGCTCCAATAGTATAGACGCCCTAAGTGACCTGATACCCACCACCGAGGAGCCGCCCCCCGAGCCCGAGCAAGACGGAAAGAGGGTGGCCATCAGCGTGTACCTGGGGCAGCCCCACAGCTTCGAAAAGTAAGCGTTTTTAAGTGGTCTGTGACTTTCAAATTAAGTTGGCGACATGTTCAAAAACATCACTTTTTTTTATTTTGTAAATTGCGACAAAACGGTGTCTCAATGTTACAATATTTTGACGTAGACATACAAGCTGTCTCAGAGCTCCGTATTTCTTCGATTACTCTGACAGTGAAGATGATAACAAAATGCGTTTTTTTTTGGACGATAGACATTCATTTTTTCTATGATCCAGAAATATTTTTGTCATTATAGGTGATTCCTATATAGGGTGGCGCAACAAAGTTATATTTTAAAGTGAACATTTTATACATGGCTACAAAATTTTTCGTTCGCATTAGCATGTCGCGTTACAGCCGGCCGCGGAGTATGGGTAAAGTGAAAAAAATTAAATAAAATAAAAGAAAAAATAAATACAATAAAATAAAATAAAAAAATAAAATAATTAAAGTTTCACTTGCATCGTGTTTTCTTATTGTAAATCTCGGTATATTAATTATGCGCTTATTTGAAAGAGCTCTTAATTCTAAGAAAATCCATATTAGGTTATATGGATCTATTATAGATTGTTTATCATTTATGGGCAATTTTGTAAAAAAGTTCCATTTTTGAAAAATCGCAGCGGCTTTGCTAGAAAGAAAAAGTGGATAAAAACAATTACAACAATTTTTACTGAGTCTGGTCCTAAATTATTATGGTTGAAATTTAATCAATCTGTTGCAACTACTACAAAGTGTTGACATTCGCAAAATATCAAGTAACTTGATTTTTTTCAAATGAAACACCCTGTATGTTATTACTTCATCGTGTAGAGCTTTTAATAAGCTTTCTAAAAAAACTAAGGTTTGTAGGTCTAAACCTTACTTATTTTATTGTACACCTTTTTAAACCTAGAAACTTTGTTGCGCCACCCTATATAGGAATCACCTATAGTGTCGAAAATATTTTTGGATCAAAGAAAAAAATGAATGTCTATCGTTCAAAAGAAACTGCATTTACACCCTGTATGTAAAATGTTCTGGGGAATCGATTGGCCGTCAAGAAAACTGCAAAATTTGTAATAGGTTTGAGGTTATAGTTGAATTTATATTTTTCGAGATATTTTCAATATTTTTAACTTTATCAGAAATTTTCTCGACTATTTATCGTAGAAAACTGATCTTCTTTGTATATGATAAAAAATTAAAATTTCTTTTCAACGGTACCAAACGTAAGAGGTTATCATCAATAAGTCCGGAGTTATTAGCTAAAAATCGACCAAAATCTCGACAAAAATCAAAAAAATTTTTAACTTTAAAATTGTTTCATGTAACGTTTTTTACATTTTTAGAGGCCTTAAAGACTTATTGGGTCAAGTTCAAAAAATTAAGATTTTTTTGAGTTTTTTAAGGTGAGCAGTAGTAAAAATAGTCAATTTACTTTAAGTTGTAAGAACGCTTGAAATATGGTTTTCTAGACGTAAAATTACGCGCTGAACACGATGCTATAGGTTAAAATACTCTACGATGCATAGTTTTTGAGGTATTGCACTATATCCGATTCTGACCAAAAACAGATTTCTTTGTCACAATTATTATTAATATTATATGTGTTATGCCTATGAGTTTGAAATAATAAATTGTCAAGTTTATACGTCACAATTCAGTGTTACCAACAAATTTTTTATTCACAGGTATTACGCCGAACATTACAGTTACGACGGAATCGGCGAAAACGCAATTACTGAAATATCTATAGCACATACCAGCATTGGGGCTTCGTGTTCTTGGGCCCAATTGGATAATACCGTGAGGAGGGCCTTCAAACAACACGTGGCGAGGCTTGATCCAGGTGGAGGACTAGGATTGGGTAAGAGTGATTCTTGAACCCTTGAAAATCTCGAAAAAAAACCAAATTATTTTGACAGGAAGTGACTCCATTGCTAGTTATAAGTTGGGAGAAGCTGAGAGAAAGCCCGATTCGGGCCCCCCTGACCTGCTACCAGTCGGTTATGCTGTTGGAAGAGTCTCAACTTTGCACGTCGTACTGCAACCTATCGCTGCCTTAGCTTTTGAAGCGCTTATACCAAAAGGAGTGGCACAAAGACTAGTTTCGTTGTTGTCGGAGCACCGGAGACTCGTCCTGTGTGGGGCCCCAGGCACAGGGAAGACGCATCTAGCGACGAGACTTGCGGAGTTCCATGCGCAGGCGCAAGGGAGGGACCCGGCCGAAGCGGTGGCCACTTTCAAGTAAGTTTTTTTCTTTTTTTTCACTTTTTTTCTTTTTTTGCTTCTTTTTCCTTCATTTGTTTTTTTTTTATATTTTTGTTTTACCTTTTTTGTTCTTTTTTTACCTTTTTCTTCTTTTTTATCAGTGGTAAATTGTTTTCTGCTTTCTTTTCTTTTTTTTTTCTTTTATTTTCTTTTTATTTTTTTGATTTTTTCTTCTTTTTTTCTTATTTTCTTCTCTGCTTTCTTTTCTTTTTTTCTATTGAATCTCTTTTTATTCTTTTTTTCTCCTTTTTCTCTTTCTTTTTTGATAGATAGATTTTCTTATTTTATCCTCTTCTTATTCTTTTTTTTTCTTTTTTCTTAAAAGTTATAAAGAAACTTCTTATCAACCAATCTTTCTATAGCATAGGTGAATATTTAAATTACAAATTTAATTAATTATACAAGGTGATTCTTAAATAGACCAACAAAATTTTATCACAACTTCCCAAGGATAAATGGAGACAAACTGTAACCTTTTTACGTTTATATCTTGTAAGGGCAAAACCCTCTTGATCCGTGCCACTTACGGCGTTTATGAATTGTTGCAATGATCAAGTACATTTTTATCAAATTAATACCATGGTTTCCACTACCTGTGCTAATACTATTTATGAACACATCAGTGGCGTACGCTTTACTTCGAAAATAACTTTAATAAATTTTATTTGGAGAACGGTTAAACAAAGATTTTTTTTTAAATATTTTTTCCAGCATGTTCTCATTTGATACTACCAAGGATAAAATTTTGTCGGTCTATTTAAGAATCACCCTGTATGTATACTTTGTTTATTTGACATGTGCAAAACCTGTATGGTGTTCGCATTAATAAAGATATGTTACGTTATGTTCCATCTCTTTTTCTTTTTTTTTCCTTGTTTTTTATTTTCTTTTTTTGCTTTCTTTTCTTTTTTTTCTTTTTTATCTCCTTTTGCTTCTTTTTTTCTTCTTTTTTGACAGTGGTAAATTGTTTTGTGCTTTCTTTTTTTTTTTTTCTTCTTTTTTTGACAGTAAATGAATTGTTTCAGTGTTGACAACAAGTCAGCGAAGGAGCTCCGCCAGTATTTATCCCATTTGAGCGAGCAAGCGGCCGCTGGAGACAACAGTGTGCTCCCATGCGTGGTGGTTTTGGACAATTTGCACAAAGCGGGCCCCTTGGTGGACGCCCTGGGGTCCCTCCCTCGCAACTTGCCTTGTCTTTTGGGGACCATGGCCCAATCAGCCTGTTCTGCGACCAGTCTCCAACTCCAGCATGGTTTCCGGTGGGTGTTGGTAGCCCCCCATATGGAGCCGGCGCGGGGCCTCCTCGGACGCGTCCTCCGACGCCGTCTCGCCACTTTGGAGCTCGAGCAAGGGCCCCAACCCGAACTTGCAGCCATTTTAGGGTGGCTCCCCCGGGTTTGGCAACACTTAAACGCCTTCCTTGAGACACACAGCTCGGGGGATGTGGCCATTGGTCCGAGGTTGTTTTTGAGTAAGTGTTTCATACTTTATTTTTTCTCCCATTATAAAAAATGTTTTTTTTTGTAGGTTGTCCGTTGGAGTTGGACGCGGCTAGGGCGTGGTTCGCCGATGTGTGGAACTACTCTTTGGCCCCCTATTTGCGCGAGGCGGCCCGAGAGGGGCTGCAGTTGTACGGGCGGAGGGCCCCCTGGACCGACCCGGCGCAGTTTGTCCTCGATACGTACCCCTGGCCGGGGGCGCCGCCTCAAGGTTTGACGAGTATAACAGCCAAAGATGTGGGACTGGAGAGTGGGCCTACAGCGCAAGCCGAAAACGAGGGGGATCCCCTGTTGAATATGCTCATGCGTTTGCAAGAAGCTGCCAATTATTCGAGTCCGCATTCGAACGATTCGGATTGTAATAGTCTGGATTCGAATCTGACGCATGGGAGCAATGTCGGAACCGAAAGTGTTTCTTAATATTGGATAATCAAAGCTATTTTATATAAATTGTTCGCTGATTCGATTTTTTTAAGTGTGTTGTTAATCAAAAGTAATACAAGCAGAACGGTTTATATAAAATGAACGACTAATTAATGGTAGCATTCAATACCTAACGACTATAACAAAGTGCTTCACCATTTTTTCACTTGTAATGTTATACAGAATGCTGTTTGTTGTCTTGTTTAATAAGAAATATACACGAATGTTTGTTTTTAGAGGATTTTTTTTAAAACACTATGTATATTTCTTAGTTTTGTCTGTGTTTTAATGAGTATTTTCTGGTCAGATAACCAATTGTGTAAATATGTTATTTATATTATACATTTATACAGAATGAAATTTTCTATGCCTATGTTTATTGTATTTATAATGTAAAATGTTTTAATAACTTTTATACAAATTGTAAATTGCCAATAAATTATTTCAAACATTTTGCACTTTTTTACCTCGCGAAACCCTCTTGAAAGCTTTCACTGTGAATCACAGAAAGGTAGATTTTTCTGGAATATGTACCTAAAAGTTCTTGGAAAAAAAGTACAATTTTTGCTAAAATTTTCAGTATTCTCAAAGTAGCAGGAGTAGTATTAGGATCACAAAAACGCGAGGAGGTATTTCATGTTTAAAATTAAAAATTTTTGTTATTTTTCGAATGTCAGGAGTAAGTATTGGGATAACAAAAACGCGAGGAGGTATTCCATATTTTTAAAATTGAAAATTTTACGATTTTCGAATCAGGAGTTAGAACCAGGATCACATGAACGCGAGGAGGTATTCCATATTTCTAAAATTGAAAATTTTGCGTCATTTTATGAAATATCAGGAGTAATTATTAGGATCACATAAACATGAGGAGGTATTCCATATTTTTAAAACTAAAAATTTTGCAATTTTTTGAAATATCAGGAATGGGTATCAGGATCACGTGAACGCGAGGAGGTATTCCATATTTCTAAAATTGAAAATTTTGCGATTTTTGAAATCAGGAGTTAGTACCAGGATCACATGAATGCGAGGAGGTATATCCATATTTCTAAAATTGAAAATTTTGCGCCATTTTTCGAAATATCAGGCGTAGATATTAGGATCACATAAACGTGAGGAGGTATTTCATATTTTTAAAACTAAAAATTTTGCGATTTTTTCAAATCAGGAGTTAGTACCAGGATCACATGAAGGCGAGGAGGTATATCCATATTTCTAAAATTGAAAATGTTGCCTTTTTATGAAATATCAGGAGTAAGTATTAGGATCACATAAACCCAAAGAGGTATTCCATATTTTTAAAAACGATCATTTCTCGAATATCAGGAATAAATATTAGGTTTACAGAAACGCAGAGGTTTTCAAGATTTATTAATTTTTTTGAATTTGACGCCCCTTGAATGACACGTAATGGAAGCACACATAACCCCACTTTTTACCATTATTATGAAGATTTGTTATCAAGAGTAAACGGCTCTTAACTTGTTAGAAATTACGGTTTAAGCATCGCTCCACAGATAAACAATGGTAAACAGTAAAATGTTGTACTTTCTCTTGTAATGCAAGTTTATATTTCAGTCAGCCCTCTTCAACTTCCAAAGTTTGCTAACAGTAGTTTTACTAATTATTTGCACTTGTGCGTACCTTAGGTCCCTTTTCCCCAGTATTATGGACCGAAATAAAGTTGGGTAAGTTCTTGCCACCATTGGTACAAATTGGGGAAATTAACCCTAAATTTTAGGTTAATGGGCACATTCTGGAAATGCGCCCGAATTGGGGAAAGAAAGTCGCCTTGGGTGGCTGTCGCATGCTTAACAATGGCATTTTCAATTTTATTTGTCAGGTAAAGTGGTTATAACCGATTTTTGAACATATTTAATAAAACAAAGTGTCAAGTGAATGGATAAAATTTTAATATAAAAGTACATGTAAATATCAATGAGATAGTATACACTCGTCTACATACAAATAATGTTAAATTGAAAATTATAGTGACATTAAAATGTATCACCTGAGAGTTTTAGACTTAGAAACTACAAAAAATTGCTTGTTTTTGACTATAATTTTGACTTGGTACAATTTTCAATTTAACACTTGATCCTAAATAGGGGTGCTTATTAGATTCTATGCTTGACGAAAGAATGAAAGCAAAGAATTTAATACCTCACAGACAAAAGTCTTAAATATGAAACTCCTGTCTCAGTCAACGTGTAAATAAATAAAAATATTGGATAGAAGTTTGACACTGAAATCGATTAATAACTAACTGTTCCACGATAGGCAACCTACTGACTTAGAATTTACTTTTTTTAATGACAGTCTTGTAATAAAAAATAATACAGTCTAGATTTTGATTACTATAAGAGAGCACATCACATGCTAACCAACCTATGTGTACACATCCTACAGCATAATCAGTGGTGTTCATTTCAACAACTAAATGCCACAATCCCCGATATCAATCTAAGTACAAAATCGAAATTTTGAAAACCCCCACTGAACCCCCAACTCAACCTAACTACTATCTTATCATCTCGAGATACTTTTGTTTGTGTGTAGCCAACATTTCGGTAACGGTGACCAAAGTCTTAATATTGGAATTGACCTTCGCCACCGCCTGCAATTCGGAAAGGTGCGCAACGCAGATATGGTGCAGAGTCGCTAATTCTTTGGCAGTATCAGGTTTACTAATTAGGCGGGGCTCCCCGGGGTCGGGAACGTTCGACAAGTGGTCGAGGAACACCACCATGCGCTCCTTGTTCTTCAAAATAAACGGGTTCACCACCTCCATGTACGGCTCCTGGAACCACACAAAAAAACTTCGAAATTAGGTTGGCAACAATCACTGTAAATCAAGGATCAAGTAGGCCACAAATTTCAAATCTTAATTTGGCAACCATGATTGTCAAAAATAAACGTCACAGTTTTACAAGCAACTGTCATTCACTTTCAAATTAAGTATTGAGCATTTCAAAATGATTGACATCTCGATAGGTCATGGAAATTCAAATTTAAGATGGCAACATTGGTGCTTCGACAGTTCTAGGTTGTTTATTTTTGTACCATTGCAGCCAATGGTTGAAAATGCGTCTATTTCACAGTTTGTTAATTTCTTTAAAAGATTTTTGTGTATTTTTTATCCCATTTTTCTTTCTGTCCCCCGTTGTTATGTTATTTTTTCTGACAGAATTCCACTGTAATGTCATTTTTATGAAGTGTAGTCATCTAAAGCATGTTTACATTTGTAACTTTTTTCGAACTAAAATTAAAGTCTGTTACATTTTCTACGCTTACCGAGATGTCAGTCATTTTGAAAATTTTAAAAACTGAATTTGGCAACCATGACTGTCAATATAATGTGAAATATAAACGTTACAGTTTTATAAGCAATTGTCATTCACTTTTAAGAGGCCACCGCTGGGATTGCCGTCACCTGATATCACAACTTGAAGTGGTGTTAACAGATTCAATTATCTCTACATCATTCAATGTTGCCAACTTAATTTCAAAATGGGGTCTCCTTGATCAGAAATTTAATAAATTTCAATCTTAATTTGGCAACACTCACTACAAATACCGCGTAGCAGTTAAAGACTGATAAAAGAGATCATTTTAAGGTGGCAAAAATGCGAGAATTCAAACAGTCTTAATCCCTAAAATTACTTTTTCAAATAAATGTGTACTCCAGGTAGCAAAAAATAATTAAAATTAACAACGTAATAAACATAGGATAGCAAACTTAAAGATTTTTGTCAATATTGATGTGATTAAATTTGTTCTGATTGACATTAAATGACATTTTTTGTGTGAATCTGCCTTTAAATTAAAGATGCATTTAGATTTCTACAACCTACTAGATGCACATTAAAATGAAAAGAGTATAGATTCAATTCTTCATTATTCAATGTTGCCAACTTAATTTCAAACTCAGAACCGCGTTTGATTAGAAGTTTGATTTGAATTTGACAACACTGCGTATCCAATCTCGCATTATTCATTGTTGCCAACTTAATTTCGTAATAGAGCCCACTTTGTTCAGACTTTTTAACGTACTTTTCCGCCGAATTCGACCAAATTGGCGAGATTTTGCAGACATTTGGCAACCATGACGAGGCTTCTGGTGGCCGAAGGTGATGGTTGTTCGTTGACAAGCCCGAATTGTCTCGGGTTGAGCAATGCGGGACATAAAAGACGTAGAAAAATGAAACCGGAAACGACTCTAGCCCGGACATGGCGCTCATCTGGCCATTTCGCCCCCACTACCTTTTGGAGACAGCCACAGATGTAACGAACTGAACGGGGGCATGCCTCGGCTGACATGAATATACTCAAAGCCACCTAAAAAAAATGTTCAATTTTATTAAAACACTCAGCTTCTCCGCTTCGTGCTATAAAATTTTTGCTTACCTGATCCAAGACTTGTAACAAAAACTCGGCATTACTGCACGCATCATCCAACGAATCCATTTTCGCCGGATTCAATTCCGCACTTTGTTTACTGTCCAATAAACGTAATACCGTTTCGAGAACAGCAGCGTGCAGAAAACCTCTACATTCTGCCCTCATGTACAAATCCATCAAAGTGGTGGAAAGTGACGCGGCACGGAATAACGTCGATGTTTCAGTTTCACGTTCGATTTCAGCCGAATTCAACTCAATTAAAAGTTCAGTTTCGCGGCCCTCAGCCCTGAAAACTCGCAACAGGGCCGTCGCCAGGGGGGCCCGATCTGCGTGAGACATCTCGGCTAGGGTCTTGACCGAAGCCAGGCCCGGCTGCAGGAGTAACTGCTGCAAGGGGCTGTATTCTTCGGCCGGCATCACCAAATCGTGCAAATATCTACCGAAACGGAAAAATTAAATGTGGTCAAGAGTCCTCTGAAAATTTTATGAACGTAAGTCGTGGATAATAGCGTCAATACCCGTCAGTTTTCTGTCAAATTTGTTCTTAAATAATTTGACATTATAATTTAAACAAGACATACGTTCATAAAATTTTCACTTGATCAAAATGGCCTGTGACTTTGAAATTCAGTTGGCAACACCTCGAAAATCACAATAGACTATAAAAATGTGACGCATGAATTTGACAGTTCATGTTGCCAACTTAATTTTGAAGTCAAAGTTTGATAATTTTTGACTTACCTCGTCCTTAACCTAAGCGATCCCCACTCCCCCATAGGCGTCAACCCTGACAAAGTATACCACTCCTCCTTCTCCTCTCCATTCCCCAACGTTGCCAAGTCGACATGAAGTTCAGCCACTTCCGTGTCTTTCCCCCGCTTCCCTTTATTATGTACAGTCAAAGTAAAAGAAACTACATCACATGGCACATCACTGAAAAAAACAATTACCAAAAAAAAAAATTCCCTAAAAACTTACTCAAAAACAAACTCCTCGTCCCATACCGGATCAGGACCGGACTTGGCCCTCGTCCTGGCAATTCTCACTTGATTATTGAATTGTATGGTAACGTATGGTTGTGGCACTAGTTTATATGGCAGCCTGTGAGCGTCCAAAATATGTAAAGTCAAACATCGTAATTCACGAAGTCGGGGTACTTTACACGTGGCCCGACTCAATTGGGGAACACAGAGAGGTTTTAAGGCGTTCACCCATCCTTGACACTCCTCGGTAGAGGGCGCTGCGAGATGAGTAACCGTCGCAAGACAGGGAAGAGCGCGCTCCACGATTTGCAAACAATGGGGGCGCTCCCACAGGCTATCGTGGACCTAAAAAAATCCAAAATGGAGTTTTGACATATTTTACTATTGCCAACTTAATTCAAAAATTAGACTTTAAGAAACTAAAAAAATAAAAAATAAGGAATGACAAATCTTATGTCAAATTTTCGTTGTTGCCAACTTAATTCCAAAATCAGACTTTTCGAAATTAAAAAAAATTCAAAACAAAATTTTGGTAAATCTCGAGCATATCCTAAGTCACATTTTCATAGACTTTAAGAGATGTAAAAAAATACAAAATGAAGTTTTGAAGTATCTTACGTAAAATTTTCATTGTTATCAACTTAATTCAAAAATTTAAGAAATTTAGAGATTAAAAATAGAGTTTTGACATATCTTTTACCAAATTTTCTATGTTTTTTTAGATATGTATTTTAAAAAAATTAAATTTTAATATATTTTATAGTATAAAATGTTCATTGCTACCAACTTAATTCAAAAATTAAAGACATTTAGAGATTAAAATACATACAAAATAAACTTTTGACATATCTTATGTCAAACTTTCATTGTTGTCAACTTAATTTAAAAATTAGAGATGTTTAAAAATGAAAAAAAAAACTAAAATATAAAGTTTCGACATATCTTATATCAAATTTTCATCGTTGTCTGCTTAATTTAAAAATTAGAAACTCTTATTAAAAATTTTTAAAAATGTACCAATAAAGTTTTGTCTTATCTATGTCAAATTTTCCTTATTGCCAATTTAAATTAAAAATTAGAGACGTTTAAAGATTAAAAAAAATACAAAACAAAGTTTTGACATCTTAGAGCAAAATTTCATTGTTGCCAACTTAAATCAAAAATTGAAGACGTTTAGAGATTAAAAAATATATACAAAATAACAGTTTTGGCATATCTTATGTCAAATTTTCATTGTTTTTTAGGAATGTATTTAAAAAAAAATAAAATTTTAACATATTTTATAGTTATAAAATTTTCACTGTTATACACTTAACTTAAATCAAAAAACATTTAGAGATTAAAAAATATACAAAATAAACTTTTAACATAATATCTTATGTCAAATTTTCATTGTTGCCAACTTCATTTAAAAATCTGAGACGGAGTTTGAGACTAGGATATTTAAAAAAAATGTTGACATATTATCTTGTGTGAAATTTTTATTGTTGCCAACTTAATTCAAAAATTAGAGACGAAAATTAGACTTCTAAAAATTAAAAAAAAAAAACGAAATAAAGTTTTGACATATTTTAGGTCAAATTTTCGTTGTTGCCAACTTAATTAAAAAATCAGACTTTTAGAAATTAAAACGAATTCAAAAATAAATTTTGACAAATCTCGAGCATATCTTAAGTCACATTTTCATAGACTTTTACAAATTTAAAAAATACAAAATAGAGTTTTGACATATCTTATGTTAAATTTTCATTGTTTTTTGTAGATATCTATAAAAAAATAACATTTTATATAACTTTTGACATATCTTATGTCAAACTTTTATCGTTGTCTACTTAATTGAAAAATTAGAGATTCATATCAGATTTAAAAAAAATACCAATAAAGTTTTGACTTACCTATGTCAAATTTTCATTGTTGCCAACTTAATTTAAAAATTTGAGACTTAAATATACAAAAAAAAATGTTGACATATTATCTTATGTCAAATTTTCATTGTTGCCAACTTAATTCAAAAATTAGAGACGTTTAAATATTAAAAAAAAAACAAACAAAGTTTTGACATATCTTACGTCAAATTTTCATTGTTGCCAACTTACCTGGTAGAGATAGGCGCAGGAGAGGTCGATGAGGCCTTTGGGCTTCGTCCTTTTGGGGTTTTCGTACAAATAAAGATGCGTATCGGTCCCGTCGACCACCAATGCGAAATACAAAAGTTTCCACTTTTTGGCCGCTTTATCCGATTTTCGATGTAGAAAACCTTGATGTTTGATACCTCGCATTTTTTTCAAGCCGGCTTGGTCACGACATTCACGCAAAGTGGCGTAGATTTTCTCAGCTTCAGATTTGACTTTTGGATTATCTGGTACCCAATCTAGTTGTTTGCTCCCGTCGACGACCAACTAGTCCCAAAAATTGACTCAAAAAAATCGATTTTTTTAATACTCACAGGATGTTGCAATGTGTATCCTTCGACGATTTGCTCCTTTCGATATCGGTTGATGACAGCATCGAGACATTCGAAAATGCGGCCCCCCATAAGGTAGCGTACTCCTTTTTTCTCGATTCGAAATCGTTGGATTTGATTGTTTATGTGGAAAAATAACGAGTAGTCGCCGGGGGAGTTGTCGCTGGGGCGCACGAGGAAACTTCCAGGACCGGCTGTGAAAATTAAGAGTTGTCAAGTTGCCAGCACAGAGAAGAAAAAATGAATGGTAGACAAACCAACATCCACTTCGTAAAATGGTCCAAAAGTTTTTTATTATTATTATTTCTATTATAAAATATAAATTAGTGATAAGCAGGTGTTGTAACTTGCTGATTAGCATTTTAAAAATAGAATTTCGTGAAAACTACAGGTGGTAGCTGACACCTTGTCATTTTATAAAAAAAAGTAGAAAAACATGGTAAAAAGTACAAAAAAAAAACGAGAAAAAAAAACCGCACCGATAGACAAAATCTGAATATTGAATATTTTGTGTTGATAAAAAGAACAAAACATGTTAAATATCCGGTTTTTAGTAATTTTGCGATTATTTGCCCCGAAAATTGCTTTGTTTTTTTCTTCTTAAGATCACACTTTTATTCTTTGTTGTTCTGCAATTTGAGCAACAATTTCGTTGGCATTTCTGTTTTCCCATGCTCGACTATGGGATGTTTTTTGTTACGAAATTATCGTTCTCTGATATACATCTGAATTGTGAGAACTAGGGTAAAATGTTCGCAATTACAACAACTCGAAACAAATTAATTGAATGGTAATTAACTTTGTGAAATTTTCATAATTTAGTGTTGTACAAACGAAAAACTAATTTGTGTGCTCTATTTCGAATCAATTAAAATTGTATTTAATTTTTTTAGTTATCGAAACAATTCTTTATGAAAAAGAATTTAAAGTTCGAAATACTTTTTTTCTATTTTTTTTTTATGTAGATTTTTGTTCTAAATCTATTTTATGAATAACTTCTTTAGAAAAAAGATTTAAAACCCTACTGTTAAGCACTTTCTACTTTCTGAATAATTTCACTTTTAAGAATAATTCCTTAAATCTGAAAGATTAAAAAAAAAATCCTCAGTCTTAAATGTTTTTTAACATAAATTTAAGAAGTAGATTTAGAAGACTTACTCTCGTTCTGTATCTGTAGACAATTGTTGTTCTAATTTTGATTTAAAATTAGATGATGGAGTAAAAAATGGAACAAAGTCTGCGTTTTAAATTTCATTAAAAAACATAGTACTGAAACTTCTAAAACTTTTTTGATTTTTCTACATTACATGTTCTTTTATTAGAAGTTTTGTAAGCAGCTTTACAAGATTCATTTATGCGCTCTACATCTGTAGTAATTTTTGTTTAGGTGTTTTTTGAGTAATTATTTCAAAAAGTAAAATTAGGTTTTTTTTCTATTCTGTCCTGGGAGACAACTGTTTATTCAATTCTGGTTCAAATTTCAATATTTTAGAAGTAAAAAATTGTGAAAAACTACTTTATGAACAATCAACGGTAGAACGACAATTTTCAAAACTTTCCTGATTTTCCTCGACATAAAAAACCGTTGACAGAATTTTACTTTATGTTTCAATCACATTTTGGTATTTCAGAAGTACAAAAATTCCTGAAAACATTAGAATTTACCACTTTTAGAATTTTAGAAGCAGAAAATGACGTGACAGTATCAATTAAGAATTTTTTAAACAGAAAATATTTTTTATTATATTTTTTGTATTAAACGTTCTTCTAACATTTACTTTTGGTTTAGATTTAGATAGACATTTTAGAATTAGAAGATATAAAAGGTAGAAGAAACTCTGCTTTCTGAACAATTTCACAATAAAAATAGAAGATACAAAAACCTGCAAAACTTGTAGAACTTTTCTGATTTTCCTCGTCATTACATATTCTTTTAACGGATTTTTTAGCCATAAATTTAGAAAATTCTCTCTCGTATTCTGTACCTGTAGACAATAGTTCTCCTAATTTTTGTACAGATTTACATATTTAATTAGCAAATGTAATTTCTCTAGAAATGAATTTAATTTTTTTTTCTTATTTTTTTCAAAATTAAACAATACTTTAACAGAAATTTTAAAATTTTGGTGTTTCAGAAGTAAAAAACTCCTGATACATTAGAATTTGCTACACTTTTAGAATTTTAGAAGTAGCAAATGACGTGAACAGTGAAACAAAATCTGCTTTCACTATGAATTAATTAAACTAGAATTTCCAAAACTTGTAGAACTTTTCTGATTCTCCTTTTCATTAAACCTTTTTTTAACAGATTTTTTGCAGTAGATTTAAAAGATTCACACTCGAAGACAATTGTTCTCCTAATTTTGGTAGCAAATGTAATTTCTCTAGAAGTTAAATTAAAGTTTTCAAAACTTTTTGTTTTTTTTTTTCAACCTTAAACGATACTTTAATAGAAATTTTAGAAATACAGTTGAAAAACTCGCCCTCATATTTTGTATCGTGACAGGTCAAATTTAGATATTTTAAAAATTAAAGATTTCGAAAAACTACTTTCTTAGAACTTGTCAATCTAAACAAAATAAATAAATTGTACAGGTCTATTAAATTGGAGGGTGGTCAATTATAACTCAAAAAAAGGCTCAAAAATCGTTTACTGTATAACTGACCAATCCATGTAGGCGTTAAAAAAATTTGATTAAATCTACTCTCGCACGTAATTTCATTATTTATCAATTAATTCTGCACAAAACAGGATCAGATCTGTCATTTGCAAAATGTTCCGTAGGTTGTACAATTTTCCATACTACGCAATAAAAAAATTAATTGTTTTGGAGCGATGAAGAGTGAACTGTAATTGATTTATATACGAGTCGCGCTGCTGGAAAGCGCACCGGAAAAAAAAACGGAATGTTAGCAGGAACGAGAAAATGATTTTTATGGTTTTTTTGTCTGAAAGAATTGAAAGGTTTCTGTATATTTTACACAATAAAAAACAAATTTTGTTAATTGCCTCATTCATTTTTTATCAATGAATTTATTAGTTGATTGAAAACTGAACCGTTACGTTATTCAATTTCATATACGTTCCGTCACACTTTACGATATTACCATTCATAAAACTTAATTTCCGAGTCGATTTTTCCAATACTTAAAAAAATTATTCAAAACTCCTCAACGAAGAATCTTTCTCCTTTCGCTGTCCGAGTCAAATATTAAGAATGATTCGAATATCATAAATACAGTTACAAGAAGCTAATTAATGAATCAGTTATGTATATTTATTAGTCAGCGAAAAATTCGGTTAAGGTGAATGTCCAAATTTACCTTTGACGAGTAAATCGACAGCTTCGTTTTTCGTACAGTTGGGATGAAACCAGGGAAAAACCGTATTCGGATCGATGCTGTCATCCAGATCTTCCACCAATTCCCGGAAAATCATTCCTTGTTCGCCCGTTCGATGGGCTGTAACCCATAACCAGCCGTTGCCCATGTCGTTGTGGACGAAGAAAATATCGCCTTTTTTGAATGTTAGCTCGTCGGTGTCCGGCATTTTCGTGTAGGGCAGAATTGCGACCACCCTCTATAGCGAAAATGTTGCCGTTGAGAGAGGAAGAAAGATATAGAGAAAGAAAGAAAGAAGGAAAGAAAAAAGAAACGAATCAAATCAGGCTGTTTCAGAACTCGCGCCACAAATGCCATTTAAGGTATACCACGAACATAGAAAAAATGTTAAAAAATTCTATCTCTAAAAATTTCGAAGTTATGAGAGTTTAAATTTAATTTACTTTAAATTTAACGTTATTTGTGGCTTTTATTTGTTACTAAATAATTATGAAAAAACATATGCAAGATCATCAGTAACATTAAAAAGACATAAAAAATATCAAATGTCAAAATTTTTTCCATGTTCCTGGTATCTTACTTGAAATTTTTTTCTGGGATGCGAGTTCTGAAGCACCCTATATAGAAAATATAAAAATACGAATAAATAAAAATAATTGGTCAAAATATTGAAATATGTACATTTTGTTTTATCAGTTGTCACACTTGTTGCTATGAAATTGTGAAATTTTTATTTGGTCTTTGATTTGATTTCATAAAAATTAATTTTGATTCCAAACACATCTCCACTTTACGGTCACTTATTGATTTATTGTCTGTACATTTGGATTACGTGTACGGTTTGTAAAGTTAGACATAATCTAGATAGGGTTTTATATTTTTAACAGAAATCAATCCGATATTAAAGCCAGTTTCATTAAATATAGCGTTTCAAACGAATGCGATATAATAATAAAAGGATTTTCGACTAAAATGCAATTTATGCTATCTGCACTATTAAATTTATCTCAAAGTATCGAAAATTTCATGAAATATCCCCATCTAATGTCACATCAAAGTTTGGATGTTTGCCAATGTGTGGCTCAGATAATACAAAGTGTCTATAAAAACGTATGTCAAAAGTGATGGACAAAAACATTAAAAGTGATTATTTATAATACAAAAAAATGGAAGTAACAAACATAACAATTAAGCTATAATTTGACATAAAATTACATAATTAGACTCAAAAGATAAAAACAAAAATTTTAATTTGTTGTGATTTCTGTTTTTGTTTCGAATCACTGAATAAAAGCAAAAAGTGCATTATATCATAAAAAAAATATTTTTATGATACAACACCTACAATAACATTGTATAAATGATAAGATACGTAAAACTGTTAATTTTAGAATGCATAATATAAAATCAGTTTTTTCAACATCATAATTATTACAAAAAATTTTAATAATCAAATAGTCGTCACAAACAGATCAGATTTTTGTAATACGGTACTTGAAAAACGTAATTAGACGAAAAAGTAAGATCGAAACAAGTAGATTTTAAATTTGATTTTTTTTGAATAGGAAAGTGCCAATAAAAATATTCAAAAACAGCAAAAAAAAATTTCAGAATCTCACACAGAAATTTACAAATAAATCAACTAATAATAATCGATAGTATATTATGTTATTAGGAGTACAAGTGATAGTTTATGGGACGAAGTTGTACGTTTATTTTGCCGAACGTAGTGAGGCAAATAATTCAGCTGAGTCACAAACTCACTTTTACTACGAATAACATACAGGATGCGCCAGAGAAAAATTTTAAATAAGGTAAGATACCAAGAACTTGGAAAAAACGTTTAAAAAATTCTATCTGTCAAAAAATTATGACATTTATTTTTTGACATTTGACATTTTTTATGTCTATTTAATGATACTGATGATCTTGTATATGTTTTTTTACAATTATTTAGTAAAGGCACAAAAATTTTGCCAATAAAAGCCACAAATAACATTAAACAGAGTTACAATTTAGGATATAGTTTCCTTGTTTCCTCTTCTAATAGCCTATAGCAAAAAAACTTGGAAAATTATTTTTCCAACAGAAATAAATAGAATCAAAGTGCAAAATTCATTCTCATAACTTCGAAATTTTTATAGATAATTTTTTTTTTACATTTTTCCATAATCCTGGTATCTTATCTTATTTGGCGTTTTTCTCTGGGGCGCGAGTTCTGGCGCAGCCTGTATACAAGGTGTATTCAGACAGTGAATAAAGAGCAACATTATAATTAGCAAGTAAATGAACAAAATAATCAGGATGCTTTGCAAGTAATGAAATCATAATACCGCTTATAAACAGTTAGTAGTGCAAAATGTCGAATGCTGATGATTTACAATGTACCTCTCCAAAAATTGCTGAAGTAGCAAAAGAGACAAGAAAAAAACAACATTGGTAATGTCAATAATGTTACGGTAAAAGTAAAAACGCTTAAGTGCAAAAAAATACATTTTTACTCCAAGGGTAAAAGGTAAAACTTTTACTTGTGACATCTAGTCATAAATGTGGTGATTTTTGAGACGTTTACGGTTGAAAACTATTGTTATCAAAAAATAAATACATCGCGTCCAACAAAAACACTTACGATATGATTTTTGCAATAGTCAATCATTATTATACAAGAGTTTTCATTGTTTTTTTTTTAATAATGTAAACTATCACTTTAACGCAAGATGGTGTTAAAAAAATTTGACAATTAACTAACGTTATTATCCACGACATACGTTCATAAAAATTTTCATAGAATTCTTGGCCACGTTTTTATTATTTTTTTTGGTATTGATAACTGTAATTTGACATATCTATTCCTTTTTGACAGCTACGAAATTTCATTGTTACAATGAAACCTACCAAGATTACCGCACGTCGTGCAGGAAAATAACACAAACATTTTAGGCATTCAGAGAATAAAAAAAAATACTTTATAGTAAAAACACAATTAGTTTTTTTTCGCCACCTTGCGTTAGGTATTTTACAGCGTTCGGTTTTATTAAAGCACTCAGCTTCGCTTCTTGCTCTTATAATAACTATTTGTAAATTTCTTAGTTTCAAAGATCACTTATGAACCACCCCTACAGTGATGAATCAATTACTTCCAGGTCACCTATTGTCTCAAATGTCAACACAATAATAACCAGCAATTAAAAATAATTGTCAGTGTTGCAATTTGACCAAATTGCTCAATTTCCATCCATCCATTATCACTTTCATACTCTCTTATCACAACCAACTGACCTTTTTATCATTAACTGGCTCCGGAGGTGGCACCGGATGTACCAACCGTTCCCTCTTCAACAGATCACTCTTTTCCGTATAATATCCAACCAGATCATTCAAAGACACAAACTGTCTCCCCCCTATGTAAAAATCGCCACAAACGGCCGTAATCCTAAAATGGTTCATCCCAGTGCGCCCCAAAAAGGACAACACATAGGAGCCCGGTTTCCGGTCACTCTCCCTCACTAGATAACTCCCGAGTTTGTTGGAAATCCACAGACGCTCCTCGGCCTGGTACCTGTCCAGTCTCCCGTGGTACCACAGCGTCTCCGAGGGGGCAAACGGGGCAGAGTCCCCCAAGTCGGTCTCGTCAGGCTCGGCCTTGGTGGCCCCCTGGGTGTCTTGCTCGTTGCCATCCTCACTTCCGGTGCTCGGCGAGCCCAACTTATCTTTCAGCACAGCCCCATGTCCGCTTCCTGCGCGTATCAAATCGGCCATTTCGACACTTTAAACCATCGAATTTGACGATTACTAAAATGACTTAACCTTAACTTGACAACATTATGAGAGAAGTCATGAATGGTTTATTGATGTTTCGCGAAACGATTATTTGACTGAGTGAGGGGAACGAGCAAAATTATTTTGACAAATTCCGATGAGTGACTCAGGAAAGCGGCGTTGCCACCTGGACACACAATTTGACAATTGATGAAATAGAACATTAAAGTAACAAAAGTAGAGCGATTATTATTTATTTGTATTGAGCTTGTTTACAATAAACGCCATTATTTTTTTTATTTGTCTATGTAAATATAATGACAATTTCGATACAAATCTATTTTGGTATAAGTGACCACAATTACACTAAAAATTAATATCAATTTAATTAATGAACGTAAAAAATATTAAACAAAATGTTTCCTCCATTTTGTTGACATTACGGCTACAGGAGAAAAAATTATGTTAATTTTTTTAATAAAAAAAAGTGTTTTGGTATCTTCATTAAACCTTTTTGCTCTTTCTCATAATAATTATTTATTTATTTATTAAAATTTTTATTAATAATGTTTAACAACTGGGACACCCGAATTTAAACTTTTAATGAAAGTGGTCTGTGATTTAGAATTAAATTGGCAATCACTAAAAAAATCACCAGTGTTTTTTGCAATAACAAGTAAGCTATCACTCAAACAACAAAGATGTTAAATTTTGAAATGTTTTCTCTATTCTGTTGACACTCCCAGTGCCTACTAGAATTATTTTTTTAATTTTTTTTCAAAAAAAAATATGTTTTAAAGATTGTAGATAAAACTTGGCCACTTTTTTGCTTTTTGTCATGATAATTACTTATTCATTAATTAAAAATTTCATTACACTAAACTTATTTTTATTAGTAATGTTTAACAACTTGTAAAACCAAATTCAAACTTCTAATTAAAGTAATCCGTCTGTCATTTAAAATTAAGTTCGCAATCACCAAAAAATCATCAGTTTTTTAACAAAAACAAAAAAGTATCAACAAATAAATAAAAGTAAAAAATGTCAAATTTTAAAATACTTTTTCTATTCTCTTGCTCTAAAATTGTTAATCTCTTTAATAAACATGAAAATGTTAGGTAAAACTTATTGGCCATTTGGAATTTTCATTATTTTTGTTATTACATAAAATTAATTTTTATTAATTATAGTGTTTAACTGGTAAATCGAAATTCAAACTTCTAATCAAAGTAGTCTGTGCTTTAAAATTAAGTAGGTGAAATTGAAAACATGACAAGTGTATAATAAAAGTTGCCAACTTAATTTCAAAGTCACAGGTACTTTGATCAGAATTTTAATTAAATGCATGATTGATGTCATTCATTAAACAGTCTTAAACTTTATTATTAGAATGGTTATGTGCAAAATAATAATTTACTTGCAAAAAAAATAGAAATAGTAATTGAGTTTTACAGAAATGTTCTATTGTCTAAACAAATGTCAAATTGACAATGCAAATAACTTGAATAATAAAAATATCTACCATGTCTAAAATCAAAGTGGCGGACTTGTGTAGAAAAATCCGCTGCCATTTTATCATTTTTTGTCAGCTTGTTTTGATTTAATTTTAATCAGAGAATGTTTTAAATTTTGTCATTTTTTTGTATGCCAAACAATTTGTTGTCAATCATAACGTTATATAAAATATCTTGGCATTTTATCAATTTTAACAACAATTAAAGTTCTGAGTTGTCGTAATAACTGTAAATAGTTTAAAATCTATTGTAATCCATTCTTTACATAAATATTTTAATTTGTCAAAAAAATTGTGAAGCGCCAATTATCTCTTTTTTGTACGTCTGTGGTGATTAAAACCAACTGTCCCACGTGGCAACGCCGCCCAGCCGTCATTTCTGACAGGTGACATTCAAATGACGTTTCACTAACCTCACACCACTGGAAACTTATTTTTTTATTTTCCAAAATATGGGCAATGACCATTCACATTTGGGCGGCGTAGAAATAGAGGAAAAATCAGTCGAAGTTTCTGACTTCTGGTCCCACCATTCTGCTACCATAATCAATTCAGAAAACACAACGAATCTCTCGGTACTTACAGGTGAATTATTCGTTGATGGGGCACTATGGAAAACGCACACACCTTTAGAGAAAAATAGCAAGGTTTTCGGAAGTTTACAGTCAAAAACTTGACATTACAAAGTCGCATTTTCAGCATTTAATGATTTATCGCCACCCTTGCATTTTAAGATACATATCATCATGGCAAAAGAGTTCCAAATATTATTTAGCGGTGGAGGAAGTTGTGCCATTAAGCCACGTTCTGGCGACACAAAACACTCTACAAATTTGCATCGGGTTACATTCCATACTGAAGGCTTTGTGTTTTTTGCACGAGAAAGCCTCAATTTCGCATAATAATATCTGCACTGCGGCGATTTACACAAGCAAAGAGGGAAGTTGGAAGTTGGGGGGCATGGAATACGCTTGTAAATTCAACGAACTAAATTCCAATTTTCTGAAAAAGTCGCGAAACAGTCGCTATAACAAAGCTATTGACCCCAATGAAGAGAAACACATACAGGGCCCAAGACGGGATTTTATTGACATTTTCGCATTTGGAGTTCTAGTTTGTGAAGTTTTGAAATCAAAGCCGGAGGGTAAAATAACTGAAATTAGTATTTTTCGGTAATGTTAATTATTTTAGACGATATCCCCGGCCTGACAAGTTTTAAAGAATTGTGCAAAAACGATTTGCAAAACATCGAAGTGGAGTCAAGACCCAAACTCAATTCTCTCCTCCAACACGAATTTTTCAACCACGAATTTATTGTCATACATTCGTTTTTAGTCGAATTACCGTTAAAATCAGATGAGGAGAAAACGCAGTTTTTTCATAGTCTCGCTGAGCGGCTCAGGGCCTTCCCCGAGGTTATTATAGCCAACCAATTGGGTAACTTGTTACTCTCCAGATTAGTTCTTTTGAACAAAACGGCACAAGAGGACTTGTTACCATTTATTTTACGTCTCAAGAGTGGTAACTCTTACACTATGTTTTTTATTTATTTTTTATTCCTACTTGTAGGTGATGATAACACCGAAAATATTTTCACCGAAGACGTATTTAGGAAGTTTTTGACCCCAAAACTACTGGAAATTTTCGGCGTTCGAGACGCCCAAATCCGCCTCTTGCTACTAAACAATTTCAAACATTTTGTTCAAACTTTTACGAAGGAGGAACTACAAGCGTGCATTTTACCCGAGGTACTTACTTCTGGCTCACGCTATATTTTTTATTATATGCGTGTGGATCAATAATTCGAAAGACGTACTTATAGCTATCTCTTTTCAATATTTGTAAAAAAAAGGGCTTGTGACGTATGTCAAAAGTGTACCTTGCTGTCATTTATAATTTCATTTTTAATGAAGAAAACAATTTTGAGGCTAATATTTATACTCTCTATACCATCATAACAATCGTAATTCAAGCCCTGATACCAGAGAGAAACTTTTTTAATTTTTGATTTTAGTACCAACATAAAATGTCAGAGGCTGTCAAATGTCAAAAAGACGGAGGTCATGTCGTATTCTTGATTCACACTACCCCCACTAGCAAATAAATAAAAAATGTACAATTTTTCAGCTTTTGGTCGGTGTTAAAGACACGAACGACCACCTAGTCTCCGTAACCTTGCGCACCCTCGCCGACTTGGTCCCCATTTTGGGGGCCGCGACTGTGATTGGTGGTCGCAGAGGTAAACTTTTCACCGATGGCCGGCCTGTGGCCCACTCCAATCGCCGGTCACGTCGAAATTCGAAAAAAACCGAGTCGGGGCTTCCCCCAGACACCAATCCGATAATTGAAACGAATCAAGTCATTATGGAGCTCCCTGAGCGGCCGAGGCCTGATGGAGAGGAAGGGGAGACCTCCACGGAGGAGGCGGAGCAATCCGTGGAGGAGGATTTGGATAATTGGGAGGATTGGGGGGAATCCCACCCCCAGGAGAGGGTTGAATTAGTTGAATCGAATTCGAGTGAGTCGGTAATGTCGGTTTTTGAAACACAGAATGTGGCGCAGAAAAAATTGCCCGATATTTTGGAATTGGATATTAAGAATCAAACGAATTCGGGGGGAAATGACGATTTTGATTTTTTCCAAGACATGGAACCTGTGATTGAGACTTCGGCGAAATTTGTAGTTGAAGAGAGTGTTAGTAAATTAAAGTTGGGGGTGAACGAAGATGGGAATGACGACGGGTGGGTCGACGAAGACTGGTAGTGGGGTTGTTTTAATTATGTTCAATGTTATGTAAATAAACGTACTTTTAAATTGTTTTTGAATCGTTTTATTTGAATCAAATTTGCCGCCTTTGGCTGTCATTTGACTCAAGATGGTGGCATTTCCGCACATGCGCAGCCTTCTTTCAACCCGGACCGCGGTGGCTAACGAGTGCCTCGTAGTGTCCTTTGTGCTTAATTTTTTCAATAATTACCCAAAATGGTGAGTAAATCGACAAAAATATCCGTGAAAAATAACACTAGATGTAATTCTTCAACCCCCGGTTAAGTTTTTTCCCGAAATTACCCAACTTTTCATTACGATGATCACAGATTTATTTCAATGTGTCTCACTTGCGACTTATGACACCGTTTTTGTACCAATTGTGGGCACTTAACAACACAGTCATTACTAGTTGTGTGAATTTTGGGGCCTTTGCGTAATTTTGGGACAAAATCCGCTAAAAAGTGAGGTTATGTTTTGATACACATGTCATTTCATTTTTAGGGTTTCGTGAAAGTGGTGAAAAACAAGCAATATTTCAAGCGTTTCCAAGTCAAGTTTAAGAGGCGCAGGCAGGGAAAGACCGATTATTACGCCCGCAAGCGTCTTATTGTCCAAGATAAGAACAAATACAACACCCCCAAGTACCGCCTGATTGTGCGTTTGTCCAACCGTGATATTACTTGTCAGGTGGCTTATTCGCGTATTGAGGGAGATAAGATTGTCTGTGCTGCGTACTCTCATGAATTGCCTAAATATGGGGTTAAAGTTGGACTCACCAACTATGCTGCTGCTTATTGCACGGGGTTGCTCTTGGCCCGGCGTTTGTTGAAGCAATTGGGGTTGGATAAGTTGTACACCGGCACTACGGAAGTCACTGGGGATGAGTACAATGTGGAAGGGGTTGAGAATGGACCAGGCGCTTTCAGGTATCATTTTTTGCAATTTATCACCCTAGAATGTAGTGAATATAGAAAATCAAGCAACACAGTTTTCGATTCTGGCGCAATACCTGGTTGTATTTTGAATTAAAACTGGCGACAAATTTAAATACATAATTATGATTTTAATTTTTTTATTACAATTTAAATACAAATAATCGGAATCTTTAATAAAATCGGTTAAATGTGTAATTGTAAAATTTTGTTAAGGTTGTTGTAAATCAACAAATACAGGTGTTCCGTTTTTATTGTCACAAACTTAAACAGGTGATAGAATATTAAATTTTAAGACAAAAGTTTCCTATAAACATGTATCAAAAAATGTTACGTAAGCGAACTACACCCCCTGAAAGAGATGCGTTTTTAATGGGGTTTTCCCACTATTGCAGAATAGATAAAATTACAATAGTTGGTACAGCGGCTTACTTTTAAACACCTGAACGAATTTAAAGATCGGTTGTTGAAATTTTTAATCACAGGTCTCTTAAACGGTGAAACAAATTTAATTTTTAATTTTTATCCTCTTTATGGTCTGTAAGATAAACTGATTTTACTCAAAAACGGTAAGTTTTATCGAAAAAACGCAAGAGAGCTTTTTTTTGTGAAAAACTATGAAATTTAGATTTTGTGGCTGAAAGTGGCAACACCAAAATAGTTAGAGTACTTTTTACCCTAAACCCCCTCAGTTTAGGACGCCCCTGAGTAAAAATTTCGATATTTTTCTTCTTTGAATTCATTTGGGTGTATAAAGGTTATCAGTTGTACCAAATTTTGTAATTTTATCTACGATGGTTTCTGAAATATTGGAAATAATCCATTATAAGATGCACCCCTTTCAGGGTATGGCTCCCTTATATAAAATTTTTCGATATATGTTTATAGGAAACTTTTATCTTAAAATTGAATATTCTATCACCAGGTTAAATTTGTAACAATAAAAATGGAACACCCTGTATAATGGTCTTAAATTGTTTATTTATCAATTGTAATAAACAATTATCAATATTTCGGCCCTTAATTGAAATACAAAGATGGAACTAATGCCATTCGAGCAGGCAAATACTAACGGGTTGTTCAAAAATGAAAACAGATAAAAAAATGCAAAAATCAAAAGAGAAACAAAAATTAAAAAAGTTTTAAAATGAACAAAATCCACAAAAGAAATTGAACAAAGAACAATTAAAAAAATCAAAAATTAAAAACTTCAATGATTTCACAAAACAATAAATAAAGTCTAAAAAATGAAAAAAAAAAACAAAACATTCTTTTAAAAAATAAGCTTTTATTAAAAAATGTACTAAAAAGTAAAAAAAAATTCTATCAGTGAAGAACATTTCTTACACTTTCTATTTTATAATAAATACATATTCGTATTATCAGTGCCATAATTATGGCAAAATGCCTCTTTTAAAATTTTTATTGTTTTGAAACTAAACGTGTTTACAAAAAGTGCTATTTGTAAAAATAAAATCTAATATAAAATTAAACACTATAATAAACTTCGTAACATTTATTATTTACTGATCTACCCAAGTTTGCAATTCATTATTTTTTAACCCACTACTTAGACTATTAAAAAGGAATTTTAAGTTATACGTCGCTGTTCGGCATAAATGTCATTATATTTAACTAAAAACTCAAAATAATGTGACAAAATTACAAAATTCTGATATTCCACGGCATAGTTTGCCTGAAATAACTCAACAAATTTAAAATAGAAATCTGTAGTTTTTGACTGAGAGTACCATCTTTTGGTTGTTTTTATTTCTTTTTGGTCAACCCTGTTGAAGTTGGAGTTTGAAATGATGATTTTTCGGACACATGCGCGTCATCTGACCGGTATTTGGGGCTAACTGAGGACCTGTCGGTGTGTTCTATGCCGTCAGTGTTCCAAAGTTTGTTGACAAATATCGGGTTGTGATTATAACGTGTCTCTGACATTTTTTGTTTGATTGATTCATTGATTTATTTTATGATGAAAACTAATATTTGTTTGAATTCAGGTGCTATTTGGATGTGGGGCTTCAACGTACCACAACCGGGGCTCGTGTTTTCGCTGCAATGAAGGGTGCAGTCGATGGGGGCCTCAACATTCCTCACTCTACAAAACGATTCCCTGGTTATGACGCTGAATCAAAATCTTTCAATGCTGACGTACATCGTTCACATATTTTTGGACAACATGTAGCTGATTACATGCGTTCTTTGGAGGAGGAAGACCCTGAAGCTTTCAAGAGACAGTTCAGTCAGTACATCAAGTTGGGCATTAATGCTGATCAGGTAAAATTTTTAATTATTTCTACGTCCAACGTAAATTACGGCATGTGGTTTTTATACATTGTCGTGTCGCAGTTGGACAACATTAAATCATGATCAAGTGTGTCTTGCTAATGATTTTGGTCAAGATGAAATGATTATGATACAGTGTTTACGTAATTTGCTGAATTGTTATATTGTGTTTTTGTTAGATTGAAGGGATTTATAAGAACGCCCATGCCGCTATTCGAGCTAATCCAGCAGCGGAAAAGAAACCAGAAAAGGCTCCGCCCGCTACCAAGAAGAGGTGGAACCGCAAGAAGCTTACTTTGGCCGAACGCAAGAACCGTGTCGCCCAAAAGAAGAAGTCTTTCATTGCAAAGATTCAAGAAGGACAGGCTGAGCCTTAGATTTTTATTTCTTTGTATTATATAAAAGATCGAGTGTAATCAATAAAATTTGGTTCACGGAAAGAGTATTTTTTGTACACCTGAGTAAAAACCGATCATGTGAATGTCTGTCAAAACTAATTATAATTTGAAAGCAAAAAAGGCAATTCGAGATTTGTCGTTTAAAAATCAATTTTTTGAAATTGGTGTTGCATAATAAATAATGGTAGTAGTTGCCAACTATGAGCGACTAAAATCACTAAATATCTTGATGTTTGATGTGTTTTGAAATTAAAAAATTTCTTATTGAGGTTTGTCGATTAAAAATAAAGAACAAGGATAGATGGAGGGAGAATTGGTGCCGCCGTATTGGCAAGCTATGGGCAGTTGAAACTCGTACTAAATTATGCAATTAGCAATACACCTGTGCACCACAATAGTACTAAAAAAGGGGCGTTTTGGCACTAAATTTGTCACTAGAATCCAATGTAACAGAGAATTCTTTTACTTTATATAGAAAGTTTAAATTTATGACATATTTGACTCTAAAAAATGTAAACGTAGCGTTGTTTTTTTAATAAAGGTTTGAAATTAAATTTAGAACTTAACTTTAAAAAAACGGTTTCACACAAATAAAACAATCACATTAGAACACATAATGCTTCGTACAAATAAGCAATCAAGAGTTCATGAAAAGAGAAATTTGGTCACACGATGTGCAATGTCGTCACAGAATCATTTAATTCAGTTAAAAAAATGTATTTAAACAAACATTAATACTGTTAAGTATATTACAACTGTAATTATTAATAAAAAACGAGAAAATTATGTGTATACTATATTTCAATGGATAGTAGAATTCTCAATGTCACAATTTACGAGTGTACTCAACTTTTATGCACAACGAAGTAACCTTGACAAATGCACTGATCACTTTTGACAGCATTTTGACATTTACTGACAATCTACGAACAGCTGGTGTTTTAATTAGTAAATCTTGAGTTTATTTATTTAAATTGATTTTAATGTGCTCGTTAGCGGAAACCGAAGGGACTACAATACTTCCTATTTGATTTGGATATTTAAAATAATCCAAAACATGAGTGTTTGAATAGTATTTGAACGAGTTTTATTGAGGTCCAATTTTGGTTAAATAACTCAAAGGTATAAGAAAAATACTTTTATTTTGAAGAATTTACTCATAAAAGGTAATTGCAAATCTATCAGATATGATCAACTCAAATAAAAGCATCTGCAGGCAACGTCAGTAGAATCCGGAAATTTTATCCAACAATATTCGTTCTTGCTCAAAACCAAAGAAAGGATCAACTTGGGTTTGCTTCCCCCTAAATAGGCCGGCTTGTGACCTTATTCATAGGAGCAAAATTTTCTTTTAAATGATTTTATGAACTGCAGAACTATCGTCAATAAAGAATTATTATGCTAATCCTCCAACATACCAACACCAAAACACGTTGTATCACAAACTCCTATCACTGAAGCACAAAACTAAATTTGTGATTGTTAACTATTAGTCCTTAACAAACCTTTGAAATTTACCAAAAGGTAATAAAACAATCTTGTTATCCAGTATAAGTTAAATATCTACGGAATATATTGGAGGGTTTTCCGATTTTTAGTCAATCAACTAAACCACTGCACCACTAAGGGTTTCCTTGAGGCAACTGCGTTTCAGTTGGAAACAATAAGTTGTGAGGCACATTACCCTTGTACAAGGGTGCAATTGTTTCATAACAATTTTGTTAATTAAAACTATGGGTGTGGCTAAAATGTTTATTATTATCAATAATGATCTTTGAAGAACCAACCTTTTGTGCAACATTCAAAAGTTTTATTTGTATATTGATAACTGCCACAAACACCATGAACATGATTAACAGATTCTAATAATATGCTTTTCTTCTTACAAATCTTTCATATCAGAGGTTTGATCAACGTTTTGAACAAAATTCTTGGACTTGGGTTTGGTATTCCCAACTTTTAACTTGATAGACACTTTTTTATCAGAGGTAATCGGAGTTATTCACTGTTGTTTCACCCAAAAACAAGCTTCGGCTTAAAATGTATTTTATTACTTGAATGTTCTGAATAAAGCACGCGATTGTGCCTTAAAATTTTGTTAAACCCCAAAACCATCGTACATAACCTTTAATTTCAATGTGACAGAAAAAAACAGCACTGCCACCTTTAAAAAATAAAATAAAAAATCATGGCTACGAGAGTCAACACAACTTTGGTTAAACCGCTAAAAACCCTGTTTATCAAATTCTACTATCAACTGAAATAGATTGTATGTACATTTAAATTTTTTTAGGGCAGGCAACTTTTAATACACCAGAGAAAACATTGCCTACTTTTCCTACCAGTTAAAATCTGCAGTGGCTTGCCATGGAATCTTACCCCTTCAACGCCAATTCTCCTTCCATATAATCTAGTTCTTTGATTAAAAAACATTTTTTTTGTAGAATTGAAATTAAGTACATAAAAATGGTAAAAATTAGCAGTTGCCAACTATGAGTGAGTAAAATCACCAAACCTGTTAATGTCGATCATAACTGATGTGAATCACAACTAAATGTAATATGAAATTAATGAATTTTAAATTTCAAGGGTAGTCATTTTAAATTAATTTTTTTAGAATTGAAATCAACTTTACACCAAAAAATAATGGCAGACACCAGCAGTGGCCAACCGTGAGCGATTAAAATCACCAAACATCTGTATGTCAAAAACACGTGTGAAGTATAACCTGAAATCATACACGAGTTATTAATTTTTTTACTTAACCATGGGGACAGTCCCCGGGTTCGCAAACCCGGACCAAACAGTCGAAATCAACGACCCCACGGAAGAAAAAGTGAGAAAGAAAGGGTCCAAGAAAGGGGGTGGTTTCCAGTGCATGGGTCTCAGTTTCAACGTTTTGAAAGGCATAACAAAGCGAGGGTACCAACAACCGACTCCAATTCAACGAAAAGTAACCCTTTTTCGAATAATTCCAAACGTAAATCACAATTTTGTAGACAATTCCCTTGGTGCTTGAAGGCCGAGACGTAGTAGCCATGGCAAGGACCGGTAGTGGTAAAACGGCCTGTTTCCTAATCCCCATGTTCGAAAAACTGAAAGCCCGGAGCGCCAAAGCCGGCGCACGAGCCCTAATTTTGTCCCCAACCCGAGAATTGGCCCTACAAACTTTGAAATTTATCAAGGAGCTTGGCCGGTTTACGGGCTTGAAATCGGCGGTGATTCTGGGGGGCGACTCGATGGATGACCAATTCTCGGCCATTCACGGCAATCCCGACATTATCGTCGCGACTCCAGGCCGGTTTTTGCACGTTTGCATGGAAATGGAGCTCAAATTGAACAGTGTCGAATATGTGGTTTTTGACGAAGCTGATCGCTTGTTTGAAATGGGGCTGGGGGAACAATTAACTGAAATCGTCAACAGACTCCCCGATGCGAGACAAACCGTCTTGTTTTCAGCCACTTTACCCAAAGTCTTGGTCGAGTTTGCCAAAGCTGGATTGAATGATCCAGTTTTGCTACGATTAGATGTTGAATCGAAAATACCAGAAGAGTTGCAGTTGTGGTTCATCACCGTGAGGCCTGAGGAACGTCTCGCAGCTTTACTTGTGCTCCTCAAGACACATATTGATTGTGAACAACAAACTGTGGTCTTTGCCGCCACTAAACATCATGTCGAGTATATTCACATGGTAGTGAAATTTTCTTTTATTTATTGGAGTTGGGGTAAAAATTGTTTCAATTTCAGATTTTGGATCGTGTCGGGGTTAGTAACACTTTTATTTACTCGGATTTGGATCCTTCGGCTCGGAAAATAAATGCGGCGAAATTTTCAACCGGGAAAGTTAAGGTTTTGGTTGTAACTGATGTCGCAGCTAGGGGGATTGATATTCCACAGTTGGATAATGTGATTAATTACAATTTTCCGGCCAAATCTAAGTTATTTGTTCATAGAGTTGGTAAGTATACGATTTTTTTATGTGCATGCCTTAGATTTCCTGTCAAAGTGACCTGTGACTTTAAAATTAAGTCGGCGATATTGTAAAATGTGGTGATTGAGACGATAATTTTAGAATTTTGGTAAATTTTTATTTTTAAAGTTGTATAGTAGTCTGTTCTAGACACTGCGCACTGAAAAGTAGTACCGAGGCAAATTAGAATTTTTCCTTTAAATCTTTACTTTATTTCACTTTTTAGCGTTAAATGTTAGGGTTTAAGTTGTCATGAATAATCAAATGAGAATATAAAGTCTGTTTTTTTTTTTAAATGGAAATTACCAAGTCAAAATTTTGGTGAAAAAATTGGTAGCAGCTTGTCTCCATAGCGACAAATTTTGTTTGCTCTTTGTTTTTGTCTCTAGAAATTTCATTAAAAAATTATGGTTATGTGTTCCAATTGAAATGTTGTCAAAATTTTGACTTTTATGAATCTTGTGTGCTTGTTTGCTCTTTGAAAGCGCTATAATTGAATACCTGAGGACAGACATCATTACCTAAGGTCTAAAGACAGAATTTAGTGCTAATAATTTTGACAGAAACACACCGCAAGTAAGTACAATGTTGTGGACAAAAATGAAATTCTTGCTACAAAAACTTTGAAGAAAAAGGATGTATACAGAAAAAAGTTATTTAGCAAAAGATACAAGTAGGTATTATGATGATTGGCAATAAATTTTGTGTAACTTATTGAAATGAGCTCAAAGTTGATGCATTTTATAAATTCCTCTTCAGCTTTAGTTTCAAAATTGTTACTTTTTCAATTCGTTCCTCAAAAACATACACAAAACACTAATTTAATTGCGTTCTTTCCGAGGTTCTATCTCATTCATGTTTATTTTGTATTCTTGTCAATTTTTTTCTAAAAATTAAGAATGTTTAGCAAACCTGCATTACAAATTGCGTCTACATTTTAACGGGCTTTTTTTCTAACTTCCTGCTTGCGAACTACTCGTTTCCAAATTTTGAAAAACTAGTAGTGTACCGAATTTGTTTCTTTTTTGGTGTTTCATCTCTCAATTTTCTTAGACGATTTTTTGTGTTGACGTTTAATGACATTGTTTTCAAATTAATTCAAAAAACCGGAACTGCCAACTTCCTTTATTAAAATTACCATGAATGAATTTACTAGTGATGCCAACGTTAAGACTGTTTGGCATTTCCATTCAAAAAAAAAACAGACTTTACTCGTTTTCAAATTAATGTGCATCGAAGTAGTCGTTGAAAGAGATCATTTTAAGGTGGCAACTATGCGAAAATTCAAACAATACTAACTTCAATCTTCCCTAAAAATATTTTTTTCAAATAATTGTGAACCTCATGTAGCAAAAAATTATTAAAATTAACAATGTAATTAACATAGGATAGAAAACAGATTTTTGTCATTATTGATGTGATTAAATTTGTTCTGAATGACATTAACGACACATTAATGGTCTTTTAATTAAAGACTTCTACAACCTACTTGATGCACATTAATTTGAAAAAGAGTATATGTGCACATACCTGTGATAATGTAAAATATGCCGATAAAATTAACGTCAACTATTGTCTTTTCAAGTAATCAAACACTACATACACTCCACTACACGATAAATATTTACTAAACACAAACTAAAAACGATTATTAACACTTAAAACGGCGTTAAACAAAAATAATCTGAAATTTTCCACACAAGTTTTGAATCCGAATTTGACAGAACCACAAAATATGACAAGTGCAAAGTTGGCGGTGCGCTAATGTTACCAACATAACAGTTGATTGCAATAAACAATGTTTCAGGGATTTTAAATTTTGGATTTAGAGGTTTCGAAAGCAAATGTTTATTAGAATATATTAAATAATTTATTAATAATAATACTTGTGATTATTAATAATAATGTACTTTTCAGTTGACTTTTTGTTCACTAAAATGTCAGTTGATGTTTTAATTTTTTGTTTCAATGCTAACTATTATCTTTCCGTGCGAAATTCGCAATTAAAAGAAATCTAGTAAAAATCTATCTTTGATTGTGGTTGGCATAACATCAGTAGTAAACAAGATAGTTTTTGGGAAAAATGAAATGATATTACGCGATTAAAAATACTCTTATTTTTTTGCTCATTTTCATTCTTCGAATCAAATCTCCACAATTTGTATATTACTAAAATTAGGATATACCAACTTAATAATAATAAAGACCATTTCAAGGTTGTCAAACATTTATTTCAGGAATATAATAAAATATTCAAATTGACTGCATTCTGCTGTCTTCCTTTATAGATTTTTTTTTAAATTGACATTTTGTTTTTGTTTTTTTTAACAGATGTTAGTTAATGTTGGTAATAAAATTTATCAAACACCAACTTGATTATATCAATTCATCTATCATTTGTTTCGAAAGTATTTTATAGAAAATGTGAAAATTAATATCTTAATGTTAAATCTTCTGTCTATATTATTTAATGTTGCCAACCTAATTTCAAAGTCCAAGCCATTTTGAAAGTTGGACGCATCTTTTTTTTGAGGAAAATTAACTTTTAAGTTATAGACACACCTGTTAACCACTTTAAAAAATTCAATTGAGTTAAAACTAAGTAGTTGTGTTAAATGACCATTTTATTTCAATAAATTTTAATAATTTTTTTCAAATAAATAACACATCACAATAAATATTTTAAGACACATTTAATTTCATTTAATTGGAAAACCACTCATTTCTCATGATAAAATATGTAATTGTAATTCTATAGTTATTTTTAAGGAAGATACATTGTTTTTTTTTTTTTTTGGTTTTTAAAGGAAATAATTTTATCACTTTTTGAATAAACGTATCAAAAAACCCTTTTGTCTTATTGTATTGAAATTAACTGTATACCTATTGCTTTGTTTGAGAGAAACCGGTTAACCGATTTTGATTTAGAAGAATCGATTAAAAAGCGGATTGTCTTACTGGAATGAAATTAATTCTATATTCGATAATAAACTATTTGAGTTAACAAACATGTAAGCTATCGCTCACCTTAAAAAAATTTAGTATTACGAATATAAAAAAAAATAGTATAGATTTTATTTGAGGATCATCGGTTTACGATTTGAGGAAAACAATAACTGGAAATTGAGACAGAAATTGTTTATTTTAGGTCGCTGTGCCCGTGCCGGCCGCTCAGGCATCGCCTACTCCCTAGTCGCCCCCGACGAGTATCCCTACTTACTCGATTTGCATTTGTTTTTGGGGCGTCCTCTAGCCATCAAAACACGAACCGAAGCCGACGGTACAGTGGGGAAAGTCCCACAAGCATTGCTTGAAGAGCAACACGGTGCCCTTTTGACACTACACGAAAACAACATTGATTTGGTATTTCTTCAATTTTTTTTATCACAAACAATTAATTTATGATTCAGGTAAGCATGAAAAAGGTGACAGAGAACGCATATTTGCAATATGTGAGGTCACGGCCTGCTGCGTCCTCCGATAGTAACAGAAGAGTGAAAGAATTACCGTTTGTGAATTGTGGAATTCACCCAATTTTTGGGGAATACGAGGAGTTTGTGGAGGAGGCAAGAGAGAGTTTATTGGAAAAAATGAAAAGTTACCGGCCGCAAGGGGTAAAATTTTATTTTTCGTGTCCAAATTGGGAAACAAATTTTTTAGACAATATTCGAAATCTGTGGGAAAAACAAGTCGCAAGAGTATCAAATCATGAAGCAGAAACGGTCGTTTCATAAAGAAAAAATCACTTCTTTTCACCAAAATCAAGAACAGAAAGAGAATGAAAAACAATTGTTAAGCCACAAGGACGAAACCACTTTACCTAAAAGTAGTTCACAAGATATTGACGATGCATTTGGTAGGGTGATAACACCCAAAAAACGCAAATTTGAGACTTTGTACAAGAAAAATAAAAAACAGAAAACGAAAGATGAGAATTTCATTCCATATTTGCCGGCTGATCGACACACAGAGGAGGGGTGAGGCAATAAATTTAGTAACCAAGTTGGTAATGAAAATTTCTAGACTGGCTGTTAACAACTTCCATAACGAAGCAAGCAAAGTCGCGTTGGACATAACCGGAGATTCGACAGAAATGATGAGGAAAAGCGTACAACTGAAGAAGTGGGACCGGAAAAAGAAGAAAATGGTGGCAGTTCCGGTAGTTACCCAACTTTGTGATTTTTCTCCATTAATGGGGTTGTTTTAGGACAAGAAGAGTGGGAAAATTAAGACAGAATCGGGGGTTTGGATCCCGGCAACGTACAAAAGCAATCGCTACGTCCAATGGAAGGAAAAATCGAAAATTGGACAAAATAACAGTGATGACGAAAATGACGAAACAGGCCCCAAATTGCACACCGAAGCCAACACCCATTGGGCCCGACACAACAAAAAGCTCCAAGTGAAGCAAAAATCCGAATTGAAAACAACCGATCAAATTTTGAAGGCGCGAAAAATCGCCGAGAAGAAGAAAAACCGACAGAGGAAAAAAGGAAAGAAAGTGAAACGCAACAAATAAATTTATTTAACTATTTTTTCGCTCTGAGTTTCAACATATTGATCCAGGAGGCACTCCGTATTTCCACTTTTCCTTCACATTCCACTTTAACTTCCTTGTAATGATCAATGGCAGGAGTGAGGAATAAAACTTCCGAGTTTTTGCTCGGTATCAATCGCACACTGGGGTCCAAGTTGTGGCTTTTTGACACGATTTCAAAAAATGTGCCGTTTTGGCACTCGTCAGATAGGAGCAGTCTCAAGTCTCCTTTTTCCTTCATCACAATTTGCGAATTGTTGAGAATTCGCGAAATTTGGATTTCGGCATCGCTGTTGTGGAGATTCGCCAACAGATCGCCGTCTAAGCCACCTTAAAGCTTGTCTTATTTTTAAAATGATTACAGAACAAAAAATTAAGGGATCAAAAAAGTACTACATTTTTTGGTTATTTTTGTAAGGCTGTATCAGTGAAAAATAGTCTAAAAAACATTTTGAAGTTCAAGTTTCTAGAAAAAAATTTACAATTTACATTTTTTTGTTTTTGTTCCATGGACTTGAAGAATTTTTTTTTAATTAAATCAATTCATGGGCTGGATAACTTGTTTTTTTAGCTTTAATTTGCTCTTTTTATATTCTCTTAAGGTCAATTTATCGCTGAGATATCTGACTTTAAATGAAAAAGAATCCTTTTGTTTTTGATCGTCGATATCTCTGCAACCAATGACCGCACAGAGTTTCAAAAATTGAAATAAACTTCCTACAAGATCCTTTTAGTTTTTTTTTTTTTATTTTAAACATTGATTTAAAAAAGTTAACTTTTTTCATTGTGTCCGCACATTGTGTAATCTTCATCAAATGAAAAGAATTTTCTTGCAATTTTCCATTAACTTTTTTTTGAAAATTTGTAAAAGGTTTCAAGAAACAATACTAATTTCGGGCAAAAAATTAAAAAAAAATGTTTTTGCGTTTGTAAAAAATTACTAATTTTTTGAAAAAAACAAAAATTAAATAATTTTCAAATTATAATTACGACACACAAGTTTAAAACTAATTATAATTTAAGTTTGGTTAAAATGAAATTGTGTTTTCTGAGGCAAAATGTGTATAGACGATGGGGAGTAATTCTTCTTCCAATATGGCTGCAATTTTTCGAAAAAAATCCAGTTAAGAAAAGTCATGGAATAAGTAATTGAAGTCCTTGAAATGGGCGATATGTAATAAACGCCTCTAAAACAACACATGTAAAAACGTAACAAGAAAATAATAAATTCTTGTAGAGTTGAAATAGTCTCTACACAAGCCATTTTTGTAGAGTTGAAATAGATTTTACACGAGTTTAGATTTAAACTGAGCACGATTGTTTTTTTAAATTTTAGTGACTAAACCCATATAGGTATATAATTATACAGGGTGTTTCACATAACTTTACGAGGCTTGCGCCTAATGTACGCACCCAAATATACAAAAGTCACAGAACACTGGATACAAAAAATACACGTTTAATTATTTAATTTTTGGAAACCCATGACAGTAGTTGTCAAACTAATCACTGTTTCATTAATAGTCATAAACTGCAGTTTTTCAGAAACAATTATAATTTTTTCTGTCAAGAGATGGCATGAATATGATTGTAGTTTATCTATCTTAATCACTAACTAACTAAAAACATTGTAATTTTTGAAAGGGTGAACAAACTAGAGAAGATTATCCAATTTTTCAAAATTTGTAATCGAGTTCGTATCGGAATATGTATTATTGATTGCATCTTACAGGCGCAGGCCTTGTAAAATTACGTGAAACACCCTGTATATATGAGTGAACCTGGCTGTGAATTGTCACTTATATCAACAAAAATTTGAAATCAGTTTCTAATGCTCAAAAATCGCATTTTCCTTTAATTTAGGTAATTGATTCAAACCCAGAAACATGAAGCTTAAAATGTTTTTTAAATCTAAATACGACCATTTTTCATTGCGATACAGCCTTTCAAAAATTTAGGAAATTTTTTGTTCCCTTAATTTTTTGAGTAGAGTATTTGGGGGCTTACTCAAGTTGAGTTTGCCGTCTTTGAGGAAAATTTGGGTGCTTTTATGCACATTTTGCAAGTCTAAAGTCCCGTAGTCTGACTGAAAAGTGCTATGGTCACAGTAGGAGCAGTCAACTTGAATGTTGCCTTGCTTGGTTTTGATTTGGGCATTTAACCCTTGCAAACGCTTGGTTTTGATTGACTTAAAACGATTTGTGAGATAATTAGACCAAAAACTGTCATATCATACCCCATTCTCACTCGTGGCTTTGATGTTGGCCGCAACTACAGCCCCTTTTAGGACAATATCACCGATGTTAGTCTTCAAGTCGATTTTCTCGCCCTGGTATTTCTCCACGAAAATACTGCCTTTTGTCGAGTGTAATATCAATCGCGAGCCGCCGAAAACACCAGTACTGATATTCCCTTGCGCTTCAATATGCAAGTCTAGCAAAACTCAATTTAGAAGAAAATTAAAAAAAGTATTATTCCCGGACTTGCTTTAATCGGTGCGTAGATGCTACAAACCGTGTCCCCATCGTAGACATCCGTCGTGGCGAATATTTTAATGTTGTTTCCGTTCTTCAAGTGTCTGAGGGTCTTGCGAGAGGTGGGTAAATCTTGCAGTTCGATTTGTAGACGGTCACAATCTTGGTACTTGTGTACGTCTAAAGGTTTGATATTGACGGCGTAAGGTACCTTAATGTGGATGTCTGAGAACGGTTCCACTTTTATCTCGTCACGAATTACATTGCAAAAGGTGCGAACGAGTTTGGGGGCAGCTGAATTTTTCAACAGTCGGGTTAGTATCCTCCTGGAATTAAATTAACGTAAAAACCAAAAAAATATACTTTTCTTACATTTCGGAGGTCAGCAATTGCGTAAATTAACGGAAAATGCGTTTTCTAAGCAGCAGAAACCTCAGATTTCAAATTTTTGTTGATAGAAAAGTGACAGTTGACAGTCAAGTTTTAGTCACTAAAATTAAAACAAAAGTTCCTGTTTAGTTTAAACCTAAACTCGTATAAAGTATATTTCAACTGTACAGTCTCCTCCAACCCTACAAGAATATATTATTTTTCTTGTTATTTTTTTGCATGTGGTGTTCAAGAAGAATTTATTATGTACCGGCTTGACAAAAATAAAGCCCATTTCAGGGACTTATTTATTTATTATTATTTATTTCATGACTTTTCTTAACTCGATTTTTTTCGCATTCCGCATCGTCCACACATTTTGTCTCAAACAACAAATAATAATTTAATAAAGAAAAATTCATTTTTAATAATATGTACTTAAATTATAATTAGTTTTAAACTTGTGTAACGTAATTATTATAATTTGAAAAATTATTCTGATTTTTGTTTCTTTTTCAAAATTTTTTACAAATTCTAAAAAATCTAAAACATGCTTTTATATTTTTCGCATAAATCAGTATTGTTTCTTAAATTTTTATACAAATTAAAAAAATAAATAAAAAAATGATTTCTTTGAAATTCAATGCAAACTTGTAAAAAAGTTAAAAAAAATTCGGGTTGATTGGGGCCTTTTCGTGTTTCTTTGGGTCACTTTGGGTCAAAAATAAAAAATAATAGCAGTCGGAACGTTTTAAAACATTGTGCTGTAAAAGACAATTAGGAAAACTATAGAAAAATTGGCTTAAAAAACTTTAGACTTGCAACAAAATTCTTAGCAAAATTGTCAAATGTAAAAAAATTGGTGCTGTATTTCATTTAATTAAAAAATATCTTTTCTAGACATTTCAAATGTGTGAATAGGCGATCGCTAAATAAACGATGTGTTCTCATTTGCATGTTTATAGACTTTATAAATTTTTTAAATAAAAAATGACAATTTTATAAACTTTATTTCACAATGAAAAAACACTTTTTGTAACTTGCTTCCATTTTAATTCTCTAATAGACATTTTAAAGAATTCACTATGTGCCATGTCTTAATACTCAAAAGGCGACTAGATCAAATTGGACTGTTAAAATTAAGACATTATCAAACGTCACAACAATTCCTAAATCAATTAAAGTAAAATTTTTTGTATAAAAACAGCATAAAGCGGGATATCACAAAAATAGTATAAAAAACTTGTTTCATAAAACCTTGAAGCACTTATTCATTAAAATAACTTAAACTGCGCCACTCGTTTTCTTAAACTTGAATTCGTGCTTCAAGACATTATGAAACTTATGAAACTATTTTTTTTTAATATACTATTAATTAATGGTGTGACATAATTTATTAATAAAGTATCTCACAAAAACCACTTCCCTATAGTCTCCCGTTTTGTAAAGAAATACACTATTGCATTTGTTGGGTGATATTTATTTTCCAACTACACTTTCCAATGACAATATAAAAATATAAAATATAAATATATACATTTACAACAGGTCGTTAGCATTACATGCGATTCGTAACTCAAAAGCTCATAAATTTAAATGAGATCATTGCAAAAATTTACTCTGATTAAGTTTAACATCTATGTTACTGTATAACTTTTAGTTACGCGCTTAAAAACCCTATATTTACAATCTTCCAACATCACAAATCCACACTTGCCAGTCCTAAATCAGTCTTTTGTCCTTACATCTCATTTTACTTCTTTTAGAATAAGGCAACGAAAGCAATTAATTAATTAATAAATAAGGAACTTTGAATTTTGTGTGATTTTAAATAGCTATGTTATATACTAAGTGATGGCCGTTTCTTGCGGTCGCCTTTCGAATTCTTCCCGAATATGTTGCCTAAGACTTTGGACACGCTGTTCACACCCAGTTTTCGCCGAATTGGGAGGGCTTTGAGTAACTGGACTGAGCGGGCCTCCCGAAGGAGGGACTGGAACGCGAGGGAAACCCCCGCGAAGTTTTCAGCGGCGCTGACTTCGTAAAACTGGCAACCGTACTGAAGAGACAGCTCCTGGCCATCGTCCACACATATTTGCCTGAAAAAAAAAATAAATAAGCTTGACATGATCCTACCGATTGCACCAGAAACGAAAAAGAGTGACAAAAACGACTACTTTTCGGAATTTTCCAACAATACGACAATTCACGGTTTTAGATATATCTTTGACCGGGAGAAGTTATTGAAACAGTTGACTAAATAGTAGTTTCAAAATTTGGTGGTTTTTGGCGTTTCGTTTGTGCAAAACTGAAAGAAAAATAGTGCAAAGAAACATAAAGCAATGACATAACAAATAAAAGTGTAAACCTAAACAAACATAAAACTAAAAAAAAAAAAAAAGAATGAAATATAAATAATATAAAATAACATAACATTGAATAATAAATAATCTAGCAAAAATTTTTTGTTATACAGAGTGATTAACATAATTTGTTCGTAATGCATTTTTTATGCTTATGCAGGTTGTTCCGGTTAAACCCCATGTTAAAAGTGTTGTGAGTTCTAACAATGATATTTATCTAAAATTTTGTGCAATATTTTCAAGATGGTGGCACTTCCTGTTACACTGGAAGTGGATATCAACTTCGTTATTTTAAATAGAAAGCTGTTTTTTATTGCGTTTTTCGATTACTCATGTGATTTTGAGAGAGTTTTCATTAACACCTAAGTTTTGACCGTTTTCGAAATATTTAGACCTTTTTAAAAAAAATGTATTTGAATCTTCCTATTCAAAATTATTAGGTTGAAACCGTATTTGGGTATGTGAGAGAGAAAGGTTAGATCATTGCTTTGATGTATTCATAATTGTAAAAAAGTCAAAATATCTTGGAAATCATTAACCTTAAGTATAGGGAATGTTGATACAGATTAATGCAGAATTAAATTCTCTTTCATTTAGTGAAGAAAAAATTGGGGCCTTCGATTTGAAAAAATCAGTTACGGGTATTTGAAGTCTTCCAAACGTAACCTTAAATTTTTGAGGTTTGTTAATTATTTTTCCAATTATAAATACACGAGAGAAAAGACCTAACCTTTTATTTTCAAATACCCAAACACGATTTCAGAATAATAAAAAATGGTAGAGTTTCGATTTTTGAAGAGGAAGATTCAAATTAAAACAATTTCAAAAAAGTCTAAATATTTCAAAACCGGTTAAATTTAGGTATAGAAAAGTCTAATAAAAATTCTCTCAAAATCACTTGAATAATCCAAAAACGCAATAAAACCATAACTTTCTATTTAAAATAACGATGTTGCCACCCATTTCCGGTGTAACCGGAAGTACTGCCATTTTAAAAATATTTTCATTGAGCAGGATCGAAACGATTATGTCTATAATCAAAATTTTAGATAAATATCACCCAATACTTTTTAGCCATGGAGTAAAAATTGTATTTTTGCGCTTAAGCGTTTTTACTTTTATCATGACATTTACCAATGTTGTTTCTTTGGCTGCTTGAGTATTTCTAGAGAGGTACAGTGAGGATCATCAACATTCGACATTTTGTACTACTAACTGCACTAGTCATCCACTGGTTAAACACCACAAATTTGGATACTGACGTTTGTTATGATTTAATTGTAAAGCATTCTGATTATTTAGTTCATTTACTTGCTAATTATAGTGTTGCTGTTTATTCTCAATCTGAATATGATTGCGGATAAAATAGTATGTTGTTACTGCTTATTAGGAGTAAAAGTGATGGTTTATGTGGCGAAACTGAACGTTTAATTTGGCAAACGTAAACGTAGTGAGTAATATACTATTTTTTTGAATTTGAAAGTATTATATACGTATAAAAAAATCTGTCAATCACTCTGTATACTTATAATTTGATTTTTACAAGTTATTATGAAAATGAAAGTCTGAAAAATAAAAAAATTAATTAGTTGCGTGTTGTGATAATTTAAAAATGAAACGTCCCTCGATAATAGGCTTGACTGGCACAAGTTGCAAAACAGTGTCGTGAGTGCCCTGGACCCGACAAGATGGTCCTACCAACTGCACCAGAAACGAAAAAAAGTGACAAAACCGCCTACTTTTCGGAATTTTCCAACAATACGACAATTCACGGTTTTAGATATTTCTCCGACCGGGGAATCACCTTATTTGAGAAGTAATTGTGCAATTTTTACGCAGTTGACTAAATAGTACTTTCAGAATTTGGTGGTTTTTGACGTTCTGTTTGTGTGCTTACATTTGTGCTTCTTTGATTGCGTCAAATTGGAAGAAATGGGACGAAAATCCGGTTTTTCTCAGTGTGAGTCCCAAACCGATGAAACAGTGGGAAATCCCGTTTCCGGCCATAACAATTTGCCCGGAAAATAAGATTTGGGGAACGAAATATAATTTTACTCATTATCGGGAGAAATTTGAAACGGGGAATATGACAGATGAGGAGTAATTAAGTTTGAAACTAAAAATTTTTTTTCACAATTTTGAGTATTTTTTACAGATTGCAACATTTTGCAGACGTTACAATGTTTTGTCATGCAACTCCAGAAACGTACATGTTTGAAGGGCACAACATGAGTATTGATTCGTTAAATTTTCTAATTAATGTAAAATAGAATAAAAAAATTATTTGAATCATGTAAATGTTTCAGGAATTTCATGGAATTCAAACATTGATCCATTTTTGCATCTGGGTGGGGCGCACTGTCCAAATGTGTAATTTCCAATTTTCCCCAATTCTCACAATTGAGGGGCTGTGCATCTCGTTCAATACGTTAAATGCCAACGATTTATTCACAAATAAAACGTACCTAAATTTTCTTTTTGCAAAACTTGATTTACAGTTTTTAGGTATATTTTCGAGGGCCATTTCAAGCATGACAACGTCTCAAACTGGGATTTTGACAACAATTACGCCAAAGCTAACGAAATTGGATTTCCGGTTCGGTCTTCGAAAATCACCGATTACCTCACTGTTCGATTTAACCTTAATTTGAATAATATTGATAAAAAGTGCGATAAGTATGAAGGTTACAAAATCTATGCCCACCATCCGGCCGAATTGCCTTCGAAATACGTCAAAATCGGAAACGAGAAGAAATACAAGTTTGGGATTAAACCGGAGGCCACAATAACCGATTCCAGTTTGAAAAATTACGCTCCGCATCGGCGCAAGTGTTTCTATTCCTATGAACGGCCTTTGAAATTTTTCAAAATTTATACGAAGCAGAATTGCGACACTGAGTGTCTTGCTAATTTCACGTTGAAAAGGTGCGGGTGTGTCCCTTTTTACATGCCATGTAAGTGTTTTTTTTTGAGGGGTCGTCGACTTGAAAAAATATGCACAACTATTCCAATTCCAAAAAAATCCACCGAAATTCCTGTCATTCCAAAAAATTACACCTAAATTTCTGTAATTTCATCGTTTTCAGATTAATTTCTGTGATTCCAACTTAATTCTAACTTAAATTTCGTAATTAAATTAATTCCTATAGTCCCAAGAAATTTAAACTAATTTTGACAAGAAATTATTTTAAATAATTCCAAAAAGAATTCCGGAATTAAATAAAAATTCCAGTTTTCACATTGTTTTCAGATTAATTGCTATAATTCCAAATTAAATCCTGTAATTTCAACTTAATTTCGTAATCCACATTAGTTCCGATAGTTCTAAGTTTAACATAATTCACAGATAATTCCAAATTCAAACTAATTAAACTAAAAAAAAAATATCTTCGATAATTCCAGAAATTTGCAAATAATTCCAGTATGTAATTCTGTACAATCCTAAAGATAATTTTAATAATACCAAATAATTCTACAGTTTCAATTAAATTCCAAAAATTTGTGCAGCTAATTCCAAATTCAATCTAATTTTGAAAAAAAAATACTTTCGCTAAAAATTATTTCAGAATTAAAAAAAACAGTCATGCCAGAAAGATTTTAGTAATTCACAAATAATTCTAGTAATTTCAATAAATTCCACCGAAATTTCAGTATTTTCAATAATCTATCGTAATTCCATTTTTTTAGATCAATTACCATAAATCCAAATTAATTATCCTAATTCCAACTTAATTTTTGTAATTCCAAAATAAATTCTGTAATTCCAAGCTTCGATAGTTCTAAGAAATTCAACGTAATATTAAAAAAAAATATCTCCGACAATAAATTTTAAAAATTCACAGATGATTCCAGTAATTCTAAACAATCCAAAGATAATTTTAAAATTCCAAATAATTCCAAACAGTTTCGATTAAATTTTAAAAATTTGTGCACATAATCCCAGATTCAATCTAATTAAAAAAATTATTTTCGGCAATTCCAAAATTAATTTCAGAATTGAAAAAAATCCAGTAATTTCAGAAAGATTCCAAATATTTTGATAAATTCCACCAAAATTTCAGTGTTTCCAATAATCTAACGTAATTTCATTGTTTTCAGAACAATTGCTGTAATTCCAAATTAATTCCTGTAATTCCAACTTAATTTTCGTAATTTCAAAATAACTTTTGTAATTCCAAATTAAATTCAATATTTCTAAGAAATTTAACAATGTTTAAAATTCCCAGATAATTTCAGTAATTCTAAACAATCCAAAGATAATTTTAATAATACCAAATAACTCCGAACAGTTTCGATTAAATTCCAAAAATTTGTGCAGCTAATTACAAATGCAAATTGATTTTGAAAAAAAAATCCGATAATTCCAAAGAGAATACTAGAATTAAAAAAATTCCAGTAATTCCAGAAAGATCCCAGTAATTCCTTGATAAATCTAGTGATTTAAAAAAAAATCACCGAAATTTTAGTAATTACAATAATCTATAGTAATTCGATTGTTTTCAGATTAATTTCTATAATTCCAAATTAATTCCCGTAATGACAATTTAATTTTCTTAATTCCAAAATAAGTTCTGTAATTCTAAATTAGTTCCGAAAGTTCTAAGAAATTCAACGTAATATTCAAAAAAAATATTTCCGATAATAAATTCCAGTAATTCACAAATAATTCCAAACAGTGTCGATTAAATTCCAAAAATTTGTGCAGCTAATTCCAGATTCAAAGTAATTTTGAAAAAAAAATAACTTCGGTAATTCCAAAAAGAATTCTAAAAATAAAAAAACATTAATTCCAGAAAGAATCTAGTAATTCATAAATAACCCATAAATTTCAAAAAATTCCGCCGAGAGTTCTAAGTAATCTTTGATAATAAATTCCAGTAATTCACAAATAATTCCAGTAATTCTAAATAATACAAAGATTCTGAATAATTCCAAGCAGTTTCGATAAAATTACAAAACTTTGTGCTTTTTCCAGAGTTAACGGCCCCTCGACATTTTTCAATAAGTGCGAGAATAATTTCACATTTTAGTCGAAAAGTCGACCCCAATATGCGGATATTCGAACTTCGTGTGCAAGAGCAGAGCTCGAAGTGAGAATTTATTGAACAAAAACCGTAGTTTTGTGCTTTTTAGATATTTTACTAGACATGGAAATGGTATCAGAAGTTGAAAAAAGCTCGGATTTAACTGATTGTGACTGTTTGCCTTCTTGCACAACAATTAAATACAATCTGGAAGTAAGTGTGGAAGAACCTGGAACTGAAGCTAATTTCCTCAGTATGGTTTTTACTTCATTGGACTTTGCATTTAATGATGTGGAATTTGTCCCATTGACTCGAAACGAATTATTTGGGAATGTGGATTTTTGGGCCAATTTGGGGGGGCTTTTAGGGCTTTTCTGCGGATTTTCCGCAATGTCCTTCTTTGAAATTATCTACTACATGACGCTGCGGTGGATGTGCCCCTTTTGCTGCTTCTGGAAGCAAAGACTAGGAGGCCTAGGGAAAACAGTTTCTTAACCATTTAATTTTTATTTGGTCGCTTTTTACGAAGTTAGTTTTTGTCTTGGTGTAAATTTGAAGGGGGCAGGAGCCAAGGAGCGAGTTTTTTCAATACTGAGTGCAAAATAAAATAAAAATATTTCATAATTTGTATTTTAGTCCTTGAACCCCTTGGTTTCTGACCTCGTCATTTGTGTTTATCTCTAAAAGTGTCATCTATTGTAGTTCGATGAATTTTTTATCAACTCTAGTTTTACTATTTTCTTCATAAAAAATTGTTATTAAAAAAATGTTACATAATATTGTATAATTATTCAATTCTTTAAAAAGCAAAACAAAAATATTAAAACATGCAATTAATTTGTAAATTAACCTAAATAACCTTTGCTCTTGATACGAAATAAATTATAAACCGGTTTTCGTGGTAAAAGTTGCAAACATTTATTTATAATAACATCAACAATTCAACCTTGCATATTTAAAATGGACTTGCTTCGAGTAACATCAAACGAAAGAGCTCAAATTTTGAAGCTTTACAACATTAGTGAGGCCCAAATTAAACAACAGGTTGAAATTGTTAAAACTTGGAAATCTAAACAACCCCATTTAGAGGCAGATTTGAGTGGTGCGTATTTCAACAAGCTTTGTTTGGTCACAAATTAGTTTTTTAGATGATTTTATCGAAAAAATATTAATAAAAAATAAATTTAGTGTGGAGCGGTGTAAGGAGAAGATAGAAAATTACTACACACTGCGTGGGGGGAACTTAGATTTAGTGGAAGGGTGGGAAAAAATTGTTCCATCCAAGCTGGCTTTGTAAGTATTGAAAATGATATATAATATATAATATATAATGTATAATATAATGTGCAAATATTCCTCCCAAAACGTTGCGACGTCGATTACTGTCAGGAAATATAAAAAAGAGTCCTTTAACAAAAAAAAGCAAAACTTGTGCTTTATATAAAGAAACTAAAAAAAGCTGGATTTACACCAGATATAACAACTGTATCAACGTAGTAAACTTGGAATACAAAATGTATTTGGAAAACAAAAGGATAAAGCTGGATATGCCTCGTTTTATTCCCTTATTATTATTATCGGTTAAACAAAGTGAAGGCTTTTCAGTTGCTCCAGCCAAGGGAATGATAAGAAAGAATGAATGATAAGAAATATTTTTGCTAATAATTTTTTAAATCAAAATTTAAAATAAATACTTTTGTTTAAGTAAATATGCCACTATCTCACAAAGTGGCGTTAATCCCATACATCAAAGGCAACTATACCTTAACGCCGGATACTTGGCTATTTTAAAAATTGCACAAAAATGACTTTTATGACTTTAAAGAAGGTTTAAAAAATCTTAATCAATGACGTCTAAATTAGGAGCAAAATTGAAATAAAATAGTCTTAATTAAGTAAAATAAAGGTCTTTTGAAAAAAAATAGTTTTGGCGGGCATACAGGGTGCGCCAGAACTCGCGCCCCAAAAGAAAATTTTCAAGTAAGGTAAGATCCCAGAAACATGAAAAAATGTTTAAAAAATTCCATCTGTCAAAAAGTTTTGACATTTATTTTTTGACATTTGACATTTTTTTATGTCTATTTAATGATAAGATGGTCATGTTTTTTTACAATTATTTAGTAAAGGTACAAAAATTTTGCCAACAAAAGCCACAAATAAAATTGAACATAGTTACAATCTAGGATACAACTTTCTTATTTCCTCTTCTAATAGCCTGTAGCAAAAAAACTTGGAAAATTATTTTTCCAACAGAAATAAATAGAGTCAAAGTGCAAACTTTAAACCCTCATAACTTCGAAATTTTTATAGATAAAAATTTTTTAACATTTTTTCCATGTTTCTGGTATCTTACCTTATATGGCATTTTTCTCTGGGGCGCGAGTTCTGGCGCACCCTGTATATGCCGAGTTTACCCTANATATATAATATATAATATATAATATATTTTTTCAGAACATTTTTGCCGCTTGCCCAGTTGACAAAAAACTGCGAGCGTATTGTCATCATGAAATTGATAAATCCTGACCCTAAGGCCATCGACGTGGTAAAAACATTAAAACTGACATTGGCCATTAGTGAATTAATGTTGCGATATGATGGTGGCCTAGGAATTCGGTTTTTGATGGATTTTAAAGATTTTACGTTATCACATTTGGCTACATTCAATCCTCTTGTTTTGATGAGATATAACAATGTTGCTGAGGTAATTTTTTCAAAGAAAAAAAATTGGTAAATCAGTTTTTCAGTTATTATAGAACGGCTACTCTATGCGAATTTTGGGCTTGGAATTAGTCAACTGCCCCTCGTATATTAGTAAAATTACTGCAGTGTTTCGGTTGTTTCTACGACAAAAAATTTACCAAAGGGTAAAGAAATCATATTTGTTTCGAATTGGGTGAATAATAATCAATTTCAGATAAAATTTCACGAAGATTTGACTACTCTTCACGAGGCAATATCGAAGGAATATTTACCTGTTGAATATGGGGGTACTAGTGGTGACAAAATTTCGGGTTTATTAGGTAGGCATCAATTTTTTTTAATAAAATAATAAAAAAGAATAATTTTTTTTTAGGAAAATGGGATAACGAAATGGAGAAACAGCAAGAATTTTTATCACAATGTCTGAAAATTGTTGCAAATGAAGAATTGCGACCACCTGAAATACACAATGTGATGAATGGAACTTTCAGAAAACTTTCAGTTGATTAGATGTTTTTCATTTATTTCCAAAAGTAATATGGTGTTTATTATAGAACCAAAAATAAAGTTTTTTTTTCTTTTTCACAATTTTTTTAATTAAATACATCTCTATCCTGAAATTTAACAAACAAAAACAAAACTGATAGTTAGAAAAATAGTGTGAAGAAACAAAAAGCTATGATATAAGAGATGAAAGTGTAAATTAAACAAATACAAAATTAATTAAAAAAAAAAGAATGAATCATAAATAATATAACATTAAATAACAAATAATATAACAAAAATTTTTGTTATACAAAGTGATATACAGGATGCGCCAGAATTCGCGCCCCAGAGAAAATTTTCAAGTAAGGTAAGATACCAGGAACATGAAAAAAATGTTAAAAAAATTCGATCTGTCAAAAAATTTTGACATTTATTTTTTGACAGTTGACATTTTTTTATATCTATATAATGATACTGATGATCTTGTATATGTTTTTTTACAATTATTTAGTAAAGGAACAAAAATTTTGCCAATAAAAGCCACAAATAACATTGAACAGAGTTACAATTTAGGATATAGCTTCCTTGTTTCCTCTTTTAATAGCCTATAGCAAAAAAACTTGGAAAATTATTTTTCCATGTTCCTGGTATCTTACCTTATATGGCATTTTTCTCTGGGGCGCGAGTTCTGGCGCACCCTGTATAATTTATGTGTAATGTATTTTTTATTCTTACATACCCTTAATTTATTTTATCCACAAACGTCACAAAAGAGATAATGTAGATCATTAGCATTCGACATTTTGCACTACTAACTGCACTAGTTAAATTAATAAACACTTTCGAAAATCGAAAACACAAATTTCGATGACGTTTGTTATAAATTTTCTTGCAAAGTGTTTTGACTATTGTGTTCATTTACTTGCTAATTATAGTGTTGAACTGAATACGTTCGCGGATAAAATAGTATGTCTTACTTACTATTACTACTTATTAGGAGTAAAAGTGATAGTTTATGTGGCGAAGCTGAATGTTTATTTTGCCGAACGTAGTGAATAATGTACTATTTTTTTAAATTAGAAAGTACTAATTCTGTCAAGGTTGAAAAATAATGTCAATCATTTTGTATACTTATAATTTAATTTTCACAATAATTTTTACAACTTAATATGAAAATAGTGACTTTTTTAAAGTTTGTAGCTTTTAAATTTTTATTCTGTATTAAATTGAATATTTTGTTTCTTTATTTTTGTACTTTGCTCATTTTGTCACAAGAGAATTTAAACGGTAAAAGAAAGTTAAAAAATGCCGACACCGCGTAGGATAATACAAGAGCGTTGAATCCATTAAAATAATTGTTTACACCAAATTTTGGGCCAATTAAATTCATGTTTACATCATTTGCGTGTTTTTCAACACTTTATTGATGCTATTGTGGAAAATATTTTAATATTATTGCCGACACAATTATTTCGTTCGAACTAAAAATGGGTCACCAGGTTAACAATGAGTTTGTAAAGTTGTTATTATTAATCAGATCGAAAGTCGGTTTATTTTCTTTAAAGTCAAAAAAGAGAATATAGATTTTACAAAAAACAACAGTCACTTGTTTTCGTGATAGGTTGAGTTGAGATATTTACAACTACTTGCAATCCTTATTAAGCGTTTGATTTTATGCAATATATAATAATCTTAGTCTAATCCAATTTTATATTCATTTCTTCTCAAATTCCAACTCGTTGCTCCTTTCCCAGGACACAACTCAACGTTTAAATCATCAAAAAAGAAAAGTTCCGACTGGTTTTTAAGGAATTATGTTTTACCAATAACGCCATGGCTTCATTACTTTTGCGTAGGCAGACAAAGTATCGTATATTGATATTCTCAACACGATATCACGTTCACTCCGCTTGTCAACCACAATACCTATCATTTTTTACAATCTAAATTCCGCCAGAATATTTTACAATGACTCAAGGATCGATAACAATCGCTTTGAAGCAACATTTGGAGCAAAACCAATCGGAAATTGCCAAGAATTCCGACAAAATTTGATTCAATTCAAAATTGAGGTTAGATTGGTGTGATTTTGACGCTTGGCGGTCAATAACCCCTCTGCCAACTTAGCAAAACCAAAACAATATTCTTTGTGTTCTCTCTTGCACAATGAAAATATTTCGACCAAAAGCAATTATCTAATGAAGCGCGAAGAATTGAGGCTTGGAAAGTGAAATTCATTGGGTTTTGTCCCAATGCATCATGACATTTAAATTTTCATACAGATAATTACCGATTAAGTTAAAAATTGAAACTGAAGGAATTGTCATCGGGAGAGATAGTAGCGATTCGAGTCGGGTAATTAATTGCATTTTAATTCACTCATTTATCAGATTGAACGTTTTCAAAGATATTACACAACTGTTGGCAGGGAATGGACAGTTTAGATAAAGTTTACAACATATAAGACGGATTTTTATTTAAATTTGTACAGGTGCTGAGTCGAGATTGCGTTGAATAACAAAAAATGCAATGGAAAACCAAATTTATCCGCAAACGTCGCAAAAGTGACCACTTTTATGAAATAAAAATTCTATTTTTGCGCCTAAGGGTTATCAATGTTGTTTTTTTTTTCTTGACTCTTTCGCTGCTTCCGCAATTTCTGGAGAGGTGCATTATAGATCATCAGTATTCGACATTTTGCACTACCAACTGCACCAGTTAAATTAATAATAAACAGTTTCGCGTAATGTTTGTTTATAAGCGTTGTTATGATTTCATTATTTGCAAAGCGTCCTAATTATTTTGTTCATTTACTTGCTAATTACATGTTGCTATTTACTCTAGATTTAAATACATTTGTGTATAAAATAGTATATGTTATTCGGAGTAAAAGTGAGTTTATGTGGCTCGACTGAATTATTTGCCTCACTTCGTTCGGCTAAACTATCACTTTTACTCCTAATATCATAATATACTATTAATTTAAATTTTTTCCTCTAAAAATACGATGAAACGAATACTACTATTTTGCTGATTTTTCCTTTTTTTGTTTTCGAGTTCTGTATGGTTTAATTAATTTTTTAAATAGCAACTTACGTTGTAAGTTTTTTTAACAAGAAGTCTTTGGTTTTACAATTTCAGTTACTTAAACATATTACTGTAAAACAGCTATTAGGTTTCCTATAAAATATTAAAAAAAAATACTCCAGATAAAAATTGAAAAGAGTAAAATCAAAAAATCGTTCATTAAACGTAATGAAATTTTTAGAAGTTTTATATCAATATTCAAAATCAAAAAATCAAAAGTATGCATCTGTGTAATGTTGAGTGCAAAATATTTCAAACTTTTATGTAATTCGAAAACAATTTCAGAAAAAACACCAAACTTCCATTTTACACTCAAATTCGTCACAAAAAATTCAATTGTAGTGGCTTGTTATACAAATAACTATTTCCACTTTTAATTTTTTGTAAAACACTGTATGTAAATAAATAAAATAAAAACAAAAAGCAAAAAGTCAGACGACTAAAAAATAAATGATAACTAAAAAAAGAATAAACAAAAAAATAAAGAACACATTGTTTAGCTTTTTTTTCTCTTATTTTTTTGTCGTTTGGAAAACTGCAAAACGTGAATTAAAACGGAAACCAGAATTTTGATTCAATTTTTATTTTGACAAAACAAAATAAAAAATTATACAAAATAACATTACAATAGAAAAATGTAACTCAACATAAATAAACCAAGAAAAACAACAAACAAAAAAAAGCTAGAAAAAATAAGGTAAATCAAAGAGAATAATAAAGAAATTAGGGGAAATTATGAATAAATCAAGAAAATAAAAAGAAATCAAAATAAAAACCGAAATCTGGTGTACAACATTTGAGAAATCAGAGAAAATTAAAAGAAAAATTATTGAAAAATGTGTGCATGTGTATTGGTGAATTAAGAAAAATCTTGAAAAAATCAGAAGAGATCGTAAGGAGAAATCATGAGGAAATCAGAGCAAATCAGGAGAAATAATCAGGAAAAATCATGACAAAGTCAAGAAAATATAAAGAAATCAAAGCAAAAAAACAAAACAAGAGAAAATCATGGGGAAATCGCAGAAAATTATTGAAAAATGCGCATGTTGTTCATTTGCTAGTAAATGAAAAAAAAAATCAGGAAATCAGGGGAAATCATAAAGAAATAAGGAGAAACCTTGTTTATCTTTTCTTTTCTCTTACTTTTTTGGAAAAACTGCAAAATGTGAATTAAAACGAAACCAGAATTTTGATCCTATTTTTATTTAGACAAAACAAAATAAAAAAGTTACACAAAATAACATTAGAATAGAAAAACGTAACTTAACAAAAACAAACCAAGAAAAACCACAAATAACAAAAAAAGTTAAAAAAAATAAGACACAAGAACAAATTTTGTTTTGATTTTACAAATTTTGTATTTTTTATATTACGAATAACCTATAACGTATAGTTTCACACGAAGTTGAATTATTTGTCTTATTTATTCCGATTTTGTGTGTTTGGGTTATTTCATTCTTGAATTTATGTTTAATTTGTTCATTTTTTTTTCCAATTTATGATTTATTTTGAGTTTTGTTTAGATTTATCCAATATTTGTTTTTTTTGATAAATACTAACCTCGAGTGGTCCAAATCCCTCTTGTTCCCCAACAGCAAACTGGTGTAATACGAGGGCAACTTCAACTTGGCCAACTGACTCAAAATTTCCTGAGCTTCGTGAAAACTGTGTCTATCACTAACCGAATAGACTATAACAAAGGCTTCACCCCACCGAATATGTTCGTACAAACAGCCGTTCTTCTGAAACAAAACCAAAATAAAAATCAGGTGGAAGCATTCACTTTCGTCCACACCATAATAAATTACCACCAATGACAAGTGACAAGAGTATTTCGGACTTTCATCCAGACAACAACTCCGGAAGAGGATTCTTCGAATATGTTATCTTGGTTTCTGTGAATGTGGGTGGAGTTTAACAAATTTAATTGGTGTGTCGTATCCGAGCGGTAAAAGTTTTATGGACTTTCGTTAATGTGAACGTGGATCCCGATTATTGGGTTTTGAATGGGGGCGCGACCCACTCGGGCCATTATTGCAAGGAACAATTGGGATAAGGCGCTGCGAAGTGTGCCAACTCGGAAATAAATCATTGTTTTATGGTAGTTTTTTGACAGCGGTGAAAATAATCACAAAAACAGCATTGTCTAAAGAAAAAAAAAAGTAAGAATTTTTGGACAGACGGCTTGCACTAAAAATATTAAATAAAAAATAACCACAAAAATCTGGTGAAATTTATAAAATAGCAAAAAATATATACATAAATAAAAAGAGCAATAAACAATGATAGAACGAAAACATAATTTTTTAACACAAAAATTAACAATACAAAAATTGAATTCTAGATAATTAAAAAAACAAAATTGTGTACAATAAATTTAAATTTAATCAAAATTCTAACTGAGCTGCAGAAGACGGGAGCTGAGGTGAAGCTTGTATACAGGCTGTCCCAGAAACGAGCTACAATACAAACAAAAGTTTTTTTAAATTTTTTTGGTTGATTTTGTTAGGTTTTTAAAATAATTTAATTTTCAAAAATTTCTCAAAAACTAAAAGGTCTGTAAAAAATCACTTCTCTTTTCTTTAAAAACTGTTTGTAAAAAGGTAATAAGTGGAAAAAATTGATAATTAGATCGAATCTGCACTATTAGACAGTTTATAGCCCTCGAGCCCGACCTTCCAGTCGATAGATAACGTAACCGAAAAACCGAAAAAACTTCAAAAAAATTATTATCGCGGTACTAATTTTTTTTATCTATTTTGTATTCTTCAACGTTTAATCTGTATCTAGTTTTGAGTTTATTTTACTTTTTAATCTTTCTTTTTTAATTTCAGGTTTAACACTTTTTTATATTGATTCTCATTTTTGTTCTGTGTTTTTATTTTTTTTTCTTGTTTTACCTGTTTACTAATTTACCTCGTTTTCACTTTCTCTCCTCTCTTTCAATTTCAGGTTTAACATTGATTCCCTTTGTTTTTTTGTTCTTTGCTTTGATTTATATCTTACTAAATGTTTTAGGACGAATATCAAACATTCATTGTACATGTCACTGATATTAAATAAAGTTATTATTATTTCTTCCTCTTTTTCTTTTTTTTTGTTCTTTGCTTTGATTTCTCTATGATTTTCTCTGATGGTAGGTATTAGGTTTTTAAAATAACTTGATTTTCAAAAATTTCTCAAAAACTGAGGACATTGAAAAAAAATCATTTCTCTTTTTTTAAATTGTTTGTTAAAAGGTAAATAAGTAGGAAAAAATACGTAATTGATAGATCGAATCTGCTTGACCTTCAAGTCGACAGACAACGTAATCAAAACCGAAAAACTACAGAAAGTTATTATCGCGGTAATAATTTTTTTATCTATTTTGTGTTCTTCTACGTTTATTCTGTATCTTGTTTATACTTTTTAATCTTTCTCTTTTAATTTCAGGTTTAACATTTTTTTATATTGATTCTCATTTTTGTTCTGTGTTTTTATCTTTTTCTTGTTTTACCTGTTTACTCTACTAATTTACCTTTACTCGTTTTCACTTTTTTAATTTTCGATTAATTTTGTGTTTTTGTTTTTTTTTTCTTATTATCGTAGACATTGTCTTTTTTATTATCATTTTAGTTAGTCTTTAGTTTTATCGAGAGCTAAACTGCAACCCAGATTTTGTACATTTTGGAAAATTTTCTTATTTTCTGTGATTTTCTCATAATTTTCCCAAATTTATTTGAATTTCCTAAATGTTGTCACCAGATTTTGTTCTTTGCTTTGATTTCCTCATAATTTCTTTTGATTTCTCTATGATTTTCTCTAATTTTTCCCCTCATTTACTCACAATTCTTTGTAAGTTCTCAACAAATGAACAAATTTTCGGATGCGCATTTTTCAATGATTTCTTCTGATTTCTTTATGATTTCCTCTGATTTCTCAAATTTTCAGCACCTGCCTTGATTTCTTTATTGATTTTCTCATAATTTTCCCTGATTTCCCTATGATTTCCTCCGATTTCTGAGTTACACAAGACAGGAGCTGAGATGAAGGACCCTGTATACAGACTGTCCCAGAAATGGGCTACAATACCTATAAACCAAATTTTTTTCATTTTTTGGTACATTTTATTAGGTTTTTCAAATAATTTGATTTTCAAAAATTTCTCAAAAACTAAGGACACTGAAAAAAAATAATTTCTCATTTTTTGAAATTGTTTCTTAAAAGGTAAATAAGTGGGAAAATAATTGATAAAATAAAATAAATTGAAAAACTACAAGAAAGTTATTATCGCGGTAATAAATTTTTTATCTATTTTGTGTTCTTCTACGTTTATTCTGTATCTTGTTTTGTGGTTATTTTACTTTTTAATCTTTCTCTTTTAATTTTAGGTTTAAATTTTTTTTAACATTGTTTTATATTGATTCTCATTTTTCTTCTGTGTTTTTATTTATTTTTCTTGTTTTACCTGTTTACACACCTTTACCCGTTTTCCCTTTTTTAATTTTCGTTTAATTTTTTGTTCTTGTTTTTTTTTCTTATAAACTTCGTATTTTTTATTTTTGGTTAAACCTTAGTTTTATTGAGATCTAAACTGCAACTCAAATTTTGTACATTTTGTAAAACTTTCTTATTTCCTTTGATTTTCTCATAATTTTCCCAAATTTCCTCTAATTTCCTAAATAATGTACACCAGATTTTGTTCTTTGCTTTGATTTCTTCATTATTTCTTTTGATTTTTCTATGATTTTCTCTAATTTTCCCTGATTTGCTTCTCTAATTTCCTCATGATTTCCCCTCATTTCCTCATAATTCTTTGTAAGTTCTCAACAAATGAACAAATTTTCGGATGTGCATTTTTCAATGATTTCTTCTGATTTCCTCTGATTTCTCAAATTGTGTACACCAGATTTTGTTTCCTGTCTTGATTTCTTTTTATTTTTTTGATTTTCTCATGATTTCCCTATGATTTTCTGAGATTTTTCTATGATTTTCTCTGATTTCTCAAATGTTGTACACACTAAAGTAATAACTGAGGTACAGAAGACGGGAGCTGAGATAAAAGATACTGACTGTCCCAGAAATGATTTACATTACAAACATTTGATTTTCAAAAATTTTTCAAAAACTAGGAATACTGAAAAGAAATCACTTCTCTTTTCTTTAAAAGTTGTTTGTTAAAAGATAAATAAGTAGGAAAAAACTCATAATTGATAGATCGAATCTGCTAGCCCTTGTGCTCGACCTTCAAGTCAATAGACAACGTAATCAAAACCAAAAAACTCCAAGAAAGTTATTATCGCGGTAATAAATTCCGCAGTCGTCGAATTATTAATTGCAAGAGAAGTAAGTAAGTACCTTCATCTGTTCCCATTACTTGATTTCAAGTGCACGCGATGTCAGATAGTACATTTCCACCTAGCAATTAGCTAATTGAAGTTCATATTACCACAGTGGAACCTCCTTTGATTCAAGAAACGTTACAGTTTCATTAAAAGCCGAGCTTTGATTCATTCTTTGAATAATACATAGTTGGCATTGGAATTGGAAATGTCGGGATGTAATTAAGTTTTCTTGATTGCCTCGAGAAAAAGTTAATATTAATAAGCGATGTAATTGCTCTTAAACGATTCGGTTTTCCGCTGGAAAGGATAGGGCCGATTGGAGACACCTGCGGGACGCTTTGGTTCCGCGAATTCTGTGTCTTAATCGTTCAGTGAAATCTCTTCGTCCAAAAACCAATAACAATTCAGAATCAGATTAATTAAATTAAACAAGAGTTACGACGACGTTTCTGCGATCCTCTGTTGCAAATTGCGTCAACAATTTTACGCGTTTTCAATCTCAATAATAATAGCAAAGTCATTGAGAAAGTTAAGGAGTGTAAGTAAGGATTTGAGATTATGAAAAGGGTTTGGATTGATTTAGTGCTAAGAATGTTTAATAATGGCAGTAAATGTGATCACTGTGTGAACTTTAATGCAGTCATTATTTATTTGTCATGGTTTAATAGCAGGTACTTGAAGTAACATAATAAAAGCGTTGTTTGAGATCGTGTTCTATGGGAATTACCGACGTTTATCTAGATGTTGGTTTGGTGCAAAAATTGCATTTTTCTTTGATTTAATCCGGATATAAGGATTATGAAGCCTTCAACTTTTACCTCGTTACGCTATATGTTGAGCTTAGACCTCTTATTACAGATAAAATTTAGAAATCAGTTTTTATTGTTCAGTTGGTAGCACTTCCAAACAAGGCATGTGAAATTTCGGAAACTGTCTCAGCGATTTTGAAACTAAGAAAAATAGAAAAGTTTGCTCTTTTTTGTTTTCGTCTTTATCTGTTATCCATCATACTTTTATCTATTTTCTGTTATTCTACGATTATTATGTATCTTGTTTTTGTTTATTTTACCTTTAATCTTTCTCTTTCAATCTCAGATTTAACATTATCTTATATTGATTCTCATTTTTGTTCCTGGTTTTTTATTCTTTTGATTTTGTTTTAGCTGTTTATTTTTGATTATACAAAACGTCCCAAAAAGATATGATGTTATAATGATACATTTTCTTAAAAGGTGCATTAGGGTGTCTCTTTAGTCATTTATACAGGGTGTTAAAAAAAGATTGTATAATATTTAAGACGGTAATAGGGTGGGGCAAAATAAACAAAAAAGTCTTAATAAACCGCAACGGTTTTGGAGATATCAAATACAAAAATTTTTAGAAAATGTATTAGAAGCGTCTCTTTTTTGTTTGAACAG